AAACATAGGAGGCTGCAGAAGCTAAGAGAGCAAAGGCTTGGGAGACTGCTGGGGAGAGCCTCATGTGACTCAGTAAGGAAGTGGAGGAGAGCAGGAGTGTCTTGAACAGTGACCTTGGAGGGGAGGAACAGCTCCAGGAGTCCTGAGACCAGTATGTCCTTGCAGACTTTGCCTTTAGACTGAAGCACTAGGGGAAGTGTGAGGAGGTGTTTGCTCTAAATTGTGGGCTTCTTTTTATGTGGTCCATTATTTTAAAAAGCAGCACTTAAGAGTAAGAAAAAATGTGAAGAATATCAAAATGGTAAAAAAATGAATGTTTTTCGTCCCTGTTTCTTGTTTCACTACTGTAAAGGAGAAGATGATAACTGATTAGGTGGTCTTGGAGTTTTTTAAACAATGGGATTATACTACACTGACAATTTCTCTTTCAGTACTTAGGATTTCTGTTTTAGTACCTAGGCTCTACTTCCTTGTTTCTAATAGCTGTATAGTATTCTGCTGTGTGGGTGTGTTACTGCATTAGTCACACTCCCACACTCACAGATGGACACATGACTTGTTCCTAATCTAGTGTTAAACAGAGCTGAATACATGTCTTCACACATTTGTATGAAAATTTCTGTAGGAAAATTTTCTAGCATTGGAATTGCTGGGACTTTCATTTTTTTTAAAAAAAGATTTGTTTATTTATTTATTTATATAAGAACCAGGGTACAGGCCAGATGCGCAGGAGGATGAGAGGACCCACCGGAGACAGCGGGGAACAGAACAGGCAGACTGAAGAAATAAACTGCCGAGGGGAGCAGCGGGTGCAACAGGAGAGGTCTGCTGCACCATGTGGGACCCTCGCCGGCTGGCCGGGATTGAACCAGCGCTGCAGAGGCTGCAGACAGCTTCACAGTGCTGCGCTCAACCGCCTGCACCACCAGGGGAGGCCCAGGGAACTTCATTTTTGAAAGATGACTACTGCTGTAGTGGAGTAGTAAGTGAGAAAAGGAGGAGCAGAGGTAGATGGGGGTGGCAGTGCTTACCTTTGAAGCACCAGTCCACAGGAGCTCCCTTCCCTGGGTGGAGTACTCCCTGCCAATAGAGGGCCCCAGCTGAATACACAATACAGTTCTTGGGCTTCTGATTATCTGACAAGGCCCTACTAAGGAGGGGTTAGAGTGTGGTTCCTTGGCCCTCCTCACCAGAGTGCTCATTCGAGACTGCAGACTTTGAAAGCTGTTGCACTCGTAGATGCCTTGAAGCCCTGTGTCTGAGCTGATTTCGAGGAGTTGGTTTGCTCGGCTCCCCGCCAGGTTTCCAATTTGTGAAATATGTAGGAGATTAGCACCTCTCCTGCCATTTTATACTGGCCTTAACTGCCAGTCCAAGGATCCCTGCCATTTGCCTCTGGCAGCCTTAACTGCTGAATCCTCTGCCAACTGCTCTAGGGACTAGAAGAGCAGCTTTCAACACAGGACCAGTGTCCAAGCAGGAAGGGGAAATAATATCCTCCATTGTGCCCTTTCACCTCTGTTTTGGGTGGTTTGAGTCCTTTGAAGTTGGCTATGAGGAACCATAACAGTGAGCAGCCAGCAGCTTATCACATGTGGTGAATCAGTCCTTCATTGATTCCTCCTGAAGTCTGGATTTTTAGGGATCAAATGGATTCCACATAGGAGGGGCTTTCACTTCAGCTCAGCTAACCCTCTTCCAGGGTGAGGCAGTTTGCGTGGCACTAAGTCCTCTCACTGCTTACCCACACAGCCACCTACTGAGTCCTTTGTAAAGGCAGTTGGGGGAGTGGAGACAGCCTGCAGCCTCCTGCTCACATTCCTAGACACCGACTCACTGGCCCGCCACACCGCTGGAACAGCAGAGCTGTGTGAAATGTCAGGAGGAGTTATGCTCATGGGCTCCCTGGCCCTGGTTTCTTGTGGCTTGTGTTTTCTTCCATCTACATTCTGCTCATCAGAGGGTGCAATTAGAAGGTAATTTGTTAGTTCCAGACTTAATTTGGGACCCCCTTCTTGCCTGATCGAATTACAGGTGAACATAATAGATTTTTGATGAGAAATAGCTGGCTCTGTGGATGGGAGAAAGAGAGCTCCCAGCTCTCCAGCTTTTGGTATCCTGTGCATAGTGTTCCCCTTCCACCCTGCCCCACTTTCTCTGACTCAAGTGTGGCCCCCGGGTCTGGGATCCTTATCCTCTCAAGGTCAGCTCAAAAGATTTAAATCCAACTGGAGACGCCAGGACAACAGAGCACACTGCAGCCTCATAGAGCATAAAACTGTTGAAGCTGGAAGCTATTTAGAGACCTAACCAAGGCCCAGACAGCGGCAGCGACTTGCTGAAGGCCACATACTAGTGGTCGTAACAATAGTCTTAATGATATTAGCAGCTAACATTTATCAACCCTTAATGTGTTCCAGACTCTGTGCCAAGGGCTTACGTGCTGTGCATTGTCACATTCAAACCCAGACAGTCTGGCTCTGGACTCAGGCTGGCTCCAGCATAGCAATGCTAAAGCTCAATATAGACAGCCTGAGTTCCAGTCTTGGTTTCGCCTCTCTCTTGCACAGCTGCATAATGCCAGGCAAGTAATTTAACGTCACTGCCTTGGTTCCTTCCTTTGTAGAAGGGGAAATCACATCACTATCAATGAGTGTAGGTTAAAATTTATTCATGCTTCTAAGTGCTGAGAGCAGTGCTTGGTGCAGGGTGAGCACCTGTCCTTCTAAGACTTGTTTACGCATACAAGAGCTGGGGTATGGGCCAGAGGTGCCGGGGAGTGAGAGGATTCACCAGAGACAGTGGGAGCAGAACAGGCAGGTTGACTGAAATACACTGCTGAGGGGAGCAGCGGGTGAGACAGGAGAGAGGCCTGCTGTGCCATGTGGGTTAGCTCCCTGGCAGGGGCTTGAACTCATACTGCAGTGGTTGCAGATAGCTTCATAGTGCTGCGACTTTAACCCCTTGTGCCACCAGGGAGGTCCAGCCTGGACTTCTATGGCTTTATTTTTTTTTTTATACGTAATTTTGGTAGATATGACCTCTTTTTTTTTTTTTTTTTAATATTTATTTATTTATTTATTTATTTATAAAAGCACTGGGTACAGTCAGAAGCGCCGGAGGGTGAGAGAATTCACCAGAGCCAGAGCAGGGAGCAGAGCAGGCAGAAGGACCGAAGTACACTGCTGAGGGGAGCAGCGGGCGGCAGGAGAGGTCTGCACGCCATGTGGGACCCTCCTCCGGTGGCCGGGGAGCAGCCAGGGATCGAACCGGTGCTGCAGAGGCTGCGGGCAGCTTTGCAACCCAGCGCTCAACCACTGCGCCACCGGGGAGGCCCAGGACTTCTATGGCTTTAAATGGTTGGTGAGGAAAACAAAAGATTATACAGAAGCATATGAAAATTACATGAAATTCAAATTTCATAAAGTTTTTTTAGAATACAACCACATCTATTTATGTTTCATAGATAGCACTTCCGTGTTGCTGTGACAGAGTTGGAGTAGCTGTGACAGAATTTATGTAGACCTGCAAAGCCTAAAATATTTGTTCTCTGACCATTTACAGAGAGTGTTCCAGCTGCTGCTCAAACACTACTGGATTGGAAATCAAGTTCCGTCACATACTGACTATTTTTCCTCAGGCTAGAGCCATAACCCTTCAGAATCTCAGTTTCCTTGTATGTTAAATAGGGATGATAACCTCTACCCTACATATGATAGATATCTGAGCACTGAACCCAGGGCCTGGAACACATTAAGTGGTCAATAGATGCTAGCTTATAACAAGGTACAAACCTTATTTCTCTTATCCATTCATTATTCCTGTGCCCAATCACTATATCAGAAAAAGGCTCCTTTGGAATTCAGCCATCACCTTTGCCACGGTTCCTGTCAGTGGTTTGCAGTGAGGGCATCAGCTGCAGGGTGGCTTTAGTGGAGAGGAGTGTGTGTATGGGAGAAAAGAGCTGGTGTCACTTCCCAAGTCCAACAGTGAGGTCTGGTCATATCTCACTCTTCTGTAGCAGTCTTTATTTTCCTCTTGTAGTCCCGCAGGCAGGAGGATAAGAGATTTTCCCAGCGGTGGGCTGTGTTTGGTCATCCTCATAACTGGGGCTCTTCAGGCATTACCCCATAGGCCATCATCCCCATAGGCCCCCTGGCCCTTAGCCTTCATCATGCTTGAAAAACCTTTTTACCACCAGTGGACTCAGAGAAAGAAGCATTTCTAGCCACTGAAGCCTATGGATGGCATTCTGGGGAAGGAGGAAGGGAGGGTGAGAGGGATGGACAGACTGACTGATGCATGGACCAGATGGGTGGGTGGGAGGGTGGGGGCAGGTGACCTGGGCTCCCTGCCTCTGCTCCCTCCTATTGAAGAAGATATTTCCCCGTGAAGAGGCAGAATAAAGCTCAAGGGCGCTGTGAGCTGTGGCACTGGAATCACACAGGTCTGTTTAAATCTCAGCCCTGCCACTGACTAGTTTTTTGGTCTTGGGTAAGTTACCTAATATCACTATACCTCATTTTCCTCATTTTTAAAGTGGAAATAATTCTCATCCCAGAGTGAATACACAGTGCTGGCCACATGCAGAAATGTCAGGTGTCAGTTAACACTTTTAGGTCTTGTTTCTTCATTCTTCAGCATAGCTCTCCCCAGAAGTGGAATAGCAGCCCTCATTGGCTGGCTCTTGGGGCTGACCCCAGGCCAAGCAGAGGGAACGGATGAATGGGGATGCGGGTGCCAGGACTTAGTAGACACCAGCCCAGAGCAGAGCGAGCTCTCTGGACCTGCCTCTTCAGCCAGAGTCCCCCCCCCCCTTCTGGGGGCGTGGCTTGGCCTGGAGCTGGTATCCTGTGCTTTTCTTCACCTCCCACTGTCCTTTGGGCAGCAACTCAGGCTGGGGACCCTCGGGGGCAGATGTGCTCGCTCTCTTTGCTGCCCTGGGCTTCCCTGACCTCAGGGATGGACGCTCAGCCAGTCCTGCTTATTGTCTGTGGCGCCTGCCTGCAGCCTTCAGCCCAACTCCACCCCTTGCCTGCAAGGTCTGTTTCGTAATAGCTGCTGTAGCCACACACCTCGGTTCCGCGAGGAGCCCCTCCTCTTCCTTCTCCCCTCCCTCATCAGGGGTGGGGCTGAAGCAGGCTAACTTGACAGCAGCTCTTCTTTCTTAGCTAGTTACCGGCCCCTACCCAAGAATGCCTGTGTGCGAGTAGCTTCCGCGGAGAGGTGGTTCTCCTGGAGACCCAGAGGGCTGTCTGAGCTTCCGAGAACTGGGGAGAAAGCCGCCCCAGCCATGAGCCCCTGCGGGAATCTGCCAGGAGGCAAGTGGCCTGGAGTCCTCATGCTTCCCAGGCTGCTCCGGAGGGAGAGGTGAGCTCCCGGCAACCGGCCCGCTACTGAAGTGCCGGGAGCCCAGGCCTGTCATGGTGGTCGTCTGCAGGCAGCCTGAGGCACTCCCACACAGGTTTGCAGCTGAACTTGTTTGTCTGGTGTGGGAAGAAGATGGGGAGTTACTTGTCCATCCCGGCTTACTTCACCTCCAAAGACCCCTTTCGGTGAGTTGGGCTCTGAGTCCCTTTCCCTACCTCCTCTTCTGGTCCCTGGTCCTGAGGGGAGGGCAGCGGCCTCCCTGAATCTGCTTCTCAGATTTCTCTTGTCCTTTGACCATGAGTTCTGTCAGGCAGAAACCAGAAGCTATTCCCTAGCAGAACAGGCCTGCGGAAGGCTCCCTACGATCTTCTGGAAATGGTGAGGTGAGGAATATTCCCAGAAGGAAGATCTTGGGGAACTTCCTTCCCAGACACACCTGGTGAAGCCTCCAAAAGATGCCACTGACTGACCAGCTCTGGTGTTAACTACTTCCAGGGGAACAGCACAAATAGATAGGGTGCTGTTCGGTGCGCTTTACCTGCAGGCCATGCTGCCTGCCCGCCATGCTGCCTGCCCAGGAATTTATCCCAACAAGCAGGATGGGCAGGTTTTGCCAAGCAGCGTGGAAGCTGGCAAGGCCTGGGTGTGGGCAGCCTGGTACATAGTAGGAGCTCTATAAACGTTTGTTCTTTTAATGGTAGTCACATTTGCCTCTGACCTTTAAAGGCTTCTGAGTTCCCAGGTGAATACATTGCTTCTGAAACTGGAGCAATGAGCTTTGGCCTGCTCCTGAGCTACTGGGCCTGGCATCCTCACACACAGGCCTGAGTACCTCTGAGGGCTGCTGTGGGTCTTCTCAGTGGGAGGTGTGGAAACTTTCTACCTCTGACCTCCCTTTCTTTGCTCTCTGCCCCACCCCATCTCCAACAGAAACTCCCCAGGGGGTTTCTGGCCCTCAGGGTCCCTCCTGAATGGAGCCATTCCTGGCTGGGGTGGGGCTTGTTTTCTTTCTCTGGGAGCAGCCTGTTGTTCCAGGGTTGCCTCCCCCTCGCCAGTGGTCCTGGTAGGCTTCTCGGTTCTGGCTTCCCCAAATCAGCACCATGCCCAGACCTTGCTGCTGGGATACTGGTCAGATGGCCATGCCCTGGGTAGAAAAGCAGAACATCATGTGGTTTCACAAAATTGCTGGACCCTGGTGAGGTTATGAGAAGTATTTGGATTTGAGGGAGCTGTCTGGGATTTGGGGAACTGGGCCTCAGTGCTGATTTTACATGGCATCCTGCTGCACCCTTTATTCTTTGATCTCTCAACAGCCTAAAGATATTCTGTTTCCATTTTACACATGGGCCACCAGTTTCAACAGAGTTAACATTAGGGCCTCTGGTCAACCTTTTCTGTCTTCCTGAGTTTCTCTCATCCTTCAGGAGACTGCACCTCCCTTTGCCTGCACCTCCCCCAGAGGTGTTCTCAGGTTTTGCTTTCCTCTCCCAGCAGAGAAAGCAGAAAAAGGCCCTCCTACTTTGCCTGGCATATCAAAGGGGGCTGGCAGAGATTCTTTACTGAAGAGCAGTGGGAAATGATCTTGAGTTTAGGGAGCAGGTTTTACCATGTGGAATCAAGATGCCAAAGTGTTTGAAGTAGCCACTAGTTTAGGCCAGGGCCTCATTAATCCCTCTTACTCTTAATCTTGAAAGGCAGTTTGGGGGAGGGGCTATTCCCTTAGGAGCCTGGAATGCTGTGCCCCTTTTAATCTTTGGGAACTGGACACAGCTTCCCAGGGGCTGGAGCAGGTAATGAGCTCTCAACCTGGGCCAAGCCACTGAAGGCTGCAGGCCGGCCACTCAGCCTGTCTAATGTCTTGTTCTGCCCCAGCCCCTCTGGGGAACCTGATCATCACCCCCTCTACCCGATTTGTTTGCCCAGCTGGAGTCAGGGGGTATTGATTGACTGACTCTAGACCCTCTCCCCTCCCCCCAAATGGAGACCACATTCCTAAAGTCACTTCTAAAGAGGTAGGCAGCACACAGAGCTCTGTGCCCCATGGGAGTGACCACCCAGACCCTCTGTTCTCCCAGGTGTCATTCTGATCAGTCTCCACTATACTTCCTGGTCAGGAAACCCACTTCTGACATTTGGACCCTCCCTTATTACAGGATGTCCTCACAGTCTCCTCTTTGACCGGCTGCCTCTCCCCTCAGTTTTCTCCTTTAGAGACCAGACTTTCTGGGCTCCTGAACACAACCCCTGCCGGGTTATTTGGAACAGATTCAATCCTTGACCCTAGACCTCTGGGGGAGTACGAAGTCCACCGAGTTCTGGAACTGTCACTGCAAGAGAAGTGATGCAACCATATTCCATGGGGACATGATCAGGCGTGACAGCACAGGAGGGAGGAAGGAAGGAATGAGGAATGTAATTTCTGCACCCTATACACCCGTGCCTGACAGGCCTTGCTCAGCAAAGTGAATTGTCTTCCCCTGCCAACACCTCTAGTGTGAGCATTGAGATTACAGGCCTGCTCCCAAGGAAGTTAACACCTCAGATTGGAAGTAAATTAAGGAGTGACGTTTGTCTGATGTCTTTAAATTAGTTTTCGTTGTGTAGAAATTTCCTTAATGTCCAACACTGATTTATGGGTTTGGTTTCCACACTGTCTCTTGAAAACAAGTACATCTTCGTAGTCTAAGGCAATTCATATCTAAAGGGAAAAATTATTCTTAACCCTGCCCTGCTTAGCAGTGACATTTGGCAGCTGTTTCAGGTCCTCTGGGACTCTTTCTCCTCATCTGAAAGATGAAGGACTTGGATCAGGTGAATGGATCCCAGCTCAGCAACTAATGTGGCTTCTTGGAGACACATAAGCTCTTTTCTATTTTCTTCCAAATGATGGAGTCTCTACCTTTAACTGCTGTGTACTGCACAGATTACCAGAACTACAGGCTTCCTGGCTTTTGGTTGGAACAGAATCAACACATTCTGGTGATCACAGATTTATTATGTGTCTGGTTAAATTTTAAAAACAGGATAAATGTTCTGTAATTACAGCTTGATTGACAGCCTGTTTCAACCTACAGGGTCTGCAGGAAGGAGGAGTAATAAGGACTCTTGGTGGTAGCCTCTATTTTATCTCTGTGTCCCAGGAGAGAATTGGCATCTCCAGTCCTGACACTGTCAGACTGTGGCAAAGAGACCTGTTCATTCTTCTGTTCATCCCAGGCAGAACTCAGAGACAAGAGGCTGCAGAAGTTTCTCCCTGGCTGACTGCTCATTTGGGAGATTAAGTATGAATATCAAGCCAGGCCTTTACCAGGACAGGGAAGGGCTTGTTCTTTAACCTGTGCCACTTGTAATAGTTCCTGATTCCCTTACCACATAAGGTGGAAATTTTACCTGTAAACATTTGGCCTGAAGAATTTGGATGCGAGTGAGGGCTGGGCCTATATGTCATCTTCCTTGGCTTCTCCCAGCACAACACCTTGCCTGCTTGTTCTTGCACATCCTTGTTGCACAGTAACTTTTTCCTAGTTGATAGGAATTGATTAGAATCTATTGATTTTTTTTTCTAGTTTACTCGATAAATAATTCATTTTAGGGCCTTCTCCACCTATAGAAATCTGGTTCTGAACCAAGCAGCAGGTTCATATCGCTTAGGCATGGGAAAGAAGGGGGTCTATTTTCACCCTTGGTGTTCCCAAATTGAAGAGGAAATGCAGGGAAATGAATACTTCTGGGCATCTGCTGTGAGCCAGGCATCTTGCTAGGTATTTGTACATAACTTAATTCTCATAATCCCATGAGATTTTACCATCACCCATGTTACCAATTAGGAAACTGAACCTTAGAGTCATGAAGTAACTGGTTTTAGGTGACACAGATAGTCAATGGCAAAGAAAGAATATGGACCCAGATCTTGAAAGAATTGTTTATGAGAATCTCAACAGGCTTTTTTTTTTTTTTTTTTTTTTTTTAACCTGTGTGTTCCCTGCTGACTCAAAAGACCTCAATGTGAATCTGAGCTGCCCATTGAGGATCCATTCAGTATGAATCAGAAGCCCATTGCTGTTCCATTCAAGGCCCTCTGTCATGCTGTGGAAGAGAAATTCCAGAGACCATCCTCTGGCATGGCTTCAGTGGATCTCTTGGTGACCTTCCTTGGTCAGAGGGTTTCATTTCTGTTCACTCTGTCTACTCAGAAGAGGGTGGTGACTGATGTTTCAGCCCTGGGCTCAGGACTCCACCCCGTACGGACTGGAAACCGTTGGCGATTTGGGGGAAGCCAAGTTTTTGAAATGCTCAAAAATTAAAAACTGGGGGGAAAAAAAGCTTTGTCTTTAGGAAGAACATATTGTGGACATGGTCTCTGACAAGCTGAGGTGGGATATTTTTGAGTAGTACCTTACATTTCCAAAGTGTGCTTTGGATTCTTTTCTTCAAAGGGCAGAGGCTGCCGGGGAGCAAAATGTTATACACTCAGTGACAGAGGAGAATCGTGCCATTTCACATTCACTACTTTGGCCAAAGGAGAAGCCCCATGCAGTTAACACTCAGAGGTCCTTGAGCTCTCGGGCTCCAGCCTCTGTATTTTCACAGATGAGAACCCAGAGGCCCAGTTTAGCACTTGTGCCGCGTCACTCAGGCCTTGAGATGCAGTGGAAATGGCTTGGTAACGAGTACCCATACGTTCAGATCCCAGCTCCAGCAGTAGGTATTGGGTGACTTTACAGAAGTCACTTGACTCTGGTTTTCAGTCTCCTGGTCTGAAAAATCTGAAATAATCCTATCACCTTGCAAGGTTGTGGTCAGTATTAGAGAGAATGTAAACGAGGCACCTCTTACAGTGTCTGAAATGTTGGCATTCAAGTAACCAGTGACAGTAGCTGTTGATAATATCTAATCTAGGACTCCTCATGACAGCTTCTCCAGTGGCTTGGGAACCCACAGCCAGCCCTCCTATCAACTGTTCACCTCCCTGTTGGTCAGAGACACCTTGTGGCCAATTTCAGCTGTGTAGCTGTGCCCACCAAAGGCTTTACTTGACACAGGCAATGGTGATGTGTCGCTCTCCAGCCAGGTGTTCTTCCCGGCAAGCCTGTGTGACTTTCTCCTGCATGCCTGCACTCGTTTCTTTCCCTGCCCCCTCTCCTGGGCTTGGTCAAGGCTACTTGCAGCAAACAAAAGCAGGATATTGGCAATGGAAAGGAGACGTGTTCTGGTGCTCCCATGCCCTGCGGCACACATACCATTGCAAGGGTGTAACAGGGCCCAGGCCTGCGTTGGGTGCAAATACATCTACACCAGCTTTTCTCCATTGTAGATAGGAGAAGGGCAGGACCTGGTGACAACAAGCCACAGAACTCTTGTGCTCCCACCTGGACCACTGGTTCTTGCCTTTCCCACCATTGTTAGTTTGGAAACATTTGCTAAGGACATACTCTGCCAGGTTCTTTTCTAGGTGCTAAGTCTACTAAGAGTAAATAGGACACTGTTTCTGTCCTCAGGGAGCTCACCAATCTAGCAAAGGAAAAAGACATGTATCCAGGAGCTATAAGTTACAAGGTGGGAGGCAAGAAGCAGGCCCTGCTTCTAGTGCTGGCCCTCCGCTAGGCACCTCACGGGCATGCAGAGCTGCATTTAATCCTCACTACTACCCTGAAAATAAAACATTTCCACTTCACAAATGAGAAATGACGCAACTGTCACAGGATCACTTAGGTGGTAAGTGGCGGTTGGCAGTGCTGAGATTTGAACCTTAAAAACATAGGTATGCAGGGGCCTCCCCGGTGGCTCAGCGGTTGAGCGCTGGGTTGCGAAGCTGCCCGCAGCCTCTGCAGCACTGGTTCGATCCCCGGCTGCTCCCCGGCCACCAGAGGAGGGTCCCACATGGCGCGCAGACCTCTCCTGCCGCCCGCTGCTCCCCTCAGCAGTGTACTTCGGTCCTTCTGCCTGCTCTGCTCCCCGCTCTGGCTCTGGTGAATTCTCTCACCCTCCCGCGCTTCTGACTGTACCCAGTGCTTTTATAAATAAATAAATAAATCTTTTAAAAAAAAAAAAAAAACAGGGCCTCCCCGGTGGCGCAGCGGTTGAGCGCTGGGTTGCGAAGCTGCCCGCGGCCTCTGCGACGCCGGTTCGATCCCCGGCTGCTCCCCGGCCACCGGCGGAGGATCCCACATGGCGCGCAGACCTCTCCTGCCGCCCGCTGCTCCCCTCAGCAGTGTACTTCGGTCCTTCTGCCTGCTCTGCTCCCCGCTCTGGCTCTGGTGAATTCTCTCACCCTCCCGCGCTTCTGACTGTACCCAGTGCATGTATAAACAAAACAAACAAACAAACAAAATAAATAAATAAAACATGCCTCTATAAAAAAAAAAATAAAAAATAAAAAAAAAAAAAACATAGGTATGCATAGGGTTGAAGGGACCTAGGGTGTAGTCTTTTACAGGTGGGGAAACAACTCAGAGAGGAAAAGGGGCTTCTTCAAGGGCAAGTAACTCCCAAGAACTTGAACCCAGATCTCTGCCCTCCCCACAATTCAGAGTTCACATAACACGCCTTTTACATTAAGAGGAGTTTGAGGGTCTTCCTGGTGGTGCAAGGGGTTAAGACACAATTTATGAAGCTCTCTGCAGTGCTGCAGCACCAGTTCCATCCCCAGCCAGGGAGCTACCCACATGGCACAGCAGACTGACTCACCCGCTGCTCCCCTCAGCAGTGTATTTCAGTCAATCTGCCTGTTGTTGCCCACTCTGACTCTGGTGAATATACTCACCCCCACACTTTTGGCCTGTACCCCAGTTCTTGTATACCTAAATAAATAAATCTTTAAAAAAAAAAAAAAAGAGTTTGAGCTGTATACCCAGAACAGGGTTTCCCCTCCAGCTCTCCTATAATTTATGGTTCTCACTGTGCCGTTCTAAGCATGTCATATCCATGTTCTTCACACCAATCAGTGCTCAAGACCTTGAAGTTCAACAGTCATAGGACAGGTTGAAAGTGTTGCAGGGTGGGAATGGCTGAGGGAAGGCGCCATCAGTGTTTGTTAAGCACCTAAGAGAAGTAGACACCCCATAAAAAGGGATTTTCTGGTCTTGCTTCTTTGGCCCTCCCTTGCCCAGTTGCTTTCCACACCTGCTTCCACTCATTTCTTTCTCCAGTGCTCAAAAGTTGTAGGATTCTTTGTGGCCTCTCACCTTGCTTTGTTAATTAAACTTTGTTTGGATTTTTGTTGTTCAGATTTTCTTTTCCCTGATTCATTATAAGCTCTTGAAAGGTAGGGCAGGAGTGCCTCTCTGCAGTGCCTAGCAAGTTACTACAGTAACACACTTGTCTTGCCCTTCCCAGTTTGCTTAAGGCTTTTCTCATACATTAATTTAGTCTTCTCAGTGGCTCTTTATTGTGGGATGCTATTAGCCACATTTTGTCAATGAGGAAGAACTACTGAGAGAAGTCATCCAAAGCTATCCAGCTAGTGACAGTAAGTAGTCAATAACACGAGCTACCATTATTGTCCTCATCTTTAATAGCAGTTAATAGTTACTGAGTTCCTGTTGTACGAGGGCTTTTATATAAACTGTACTTTAAAACATCTTACTTCATTTTCACAGTAGTCCACTTTATTGGATTGGAGAAGAAAAGTCACTTGCCCAAGATGACATAACCAGTAAGTGGTTGGGTCAGGATTCAGACCAGGAGGCAGCTGTACCTTGCCTCTCAGAAGCAAGAATGGGCCAGTATTGGTGGTATGAGACATTGACAAGAACAGGGAGTCTGTTAACTGGGGGGGAAAAAAAGGAGGCAGGGCCTCCCTGGTGGCACAAGGGTTAAGATGTATCCTATGGGGCTATCAGCAGCCACTGCAGCATGAGTTCGATCCCCAGCCAGGGAGCAACCCACATGGCATAGCAGACCTCTCCTGACTCGCCAGCTGCTCCCCTCAGCAGTGTATTTCAGTCACTCTGCCTGTTCTGTTCTCCACTCTGTCTCTGGTGAATCCTCTCACCTTCCCGTGCATCTGGCCTGTACTCCAGTTCTTGTATGCATAAATAAATAAAACTTTAAAAAAAAAAAAAAGGAGGCATAGGCTCAGCAGGCCAGGGATCCCTTAGCTCTGGGTGCTAGGAAGCTCAGAAATGGTAAGCTTGTCTGCACTCACAGTGAGAACATACCTGACCTAAGAGGTGGGGCTTTATGACCAGACGGCTGGAGGAGGAAGCAGCTGTAGATCTAATATGTACATCTTGTATGGAGTTTTGGTTTTTATCTCCCTTGTGTTTTATTTTGAAAAATTAAAAGAACAGTTCAAAGAATACCCATGTGTACCTTCAATAAACTAAGCACTTGTTAACTGTACAATCTGTGCTGTGCTCTGTGCTCACACATACATATAATGCATTTATTTTTGCTAAGCTATTTAAAAGTGATTTGCAGCTATGTTGACTTTTGCTTTAATTGCTTTAATGTATTTCTAAGAATTCTTCCATATAACCAAAGTATCGTTATTGCATCTAGGAAAATTGACAGTAACTCACAATATAATATATAATCCAAACTTAAATTTCCTCATTTGTTCCAAAAATGTCACTCATGACTATTTTCTTTTTCAATCCAGAATCTAATCCAAGGTTTATGCGTTGCATTTGTCTTTAGATTTTTTTTTTAATCTCTGTACCCTATTTCCCCCATAATATTAACTTTTTAGAAAAGTCTAGACCATGATTCTATAGGAGGGCCTGTATTCTGGATTCCCCTAATAGTTTCTTTATGCCTAACATTTTTGGCAAGAATGTTACATTAGTAGTGATGTTGGTGATGTGTAGGTTTTGGAGAGTGGAGTTTGGTTCATCAAAATATATCTCTGTAGGGCCTCCCTGGTGGCTCAAACGTTAAGTCTCAGCACTGTGATGCTATTGCCAGCCACAGCAGCACAAGTTCAATCTCCAGCCAGGGAGCTGACCCACATGGCACAGCAGACCTCTTCCTTCTCACTCACTGCTCCCCTCAGCAGTGTATTTTAGTCAGTCTGCCTGTTCTGTTCCCTACTCTGTCTCTGATAAATCCTCTCACCTCCCCTCCACCTCTGGCCTACACCCCAGCCCTTGTATGCATAAATTTTAAAAAATAAGTATTTTTTAAAAATAAAGATATATCTCTGTAAACCAGAGGTTCTTAACTGGGGCTATGAACGGGCTGTCAATCCTTGTCACACAATACCTCATACCTAAATCACATGCACATTTTCTTTGTATGTGCAATTTCCTGGGAGAGGCTTCTTGCCTCTTATCAGATTCTCTAAGGACTTCAAGACCCAAAGAAGTGAAGAAACCCTGGTCTGCCAGCTGAGTCAGGCAATAATACAGAGCTGGTTTCTGAAGTCTTGTTCACTCTGAACTGGCCTCCTTTGGGGAGATAGCAGTAAACTGTACTTTGCCCATCCTGGATTTGGGTCAAAGAATGGTCTCTCCATTTTTGTTGTTAGACCCTGGAGCCAGGGACAGCCCATGTAGTCTGGTTCCAAGGATCCAGGAGAGTTTCTGTTCTTCTCTTACCTTGCAGGTGTTCAGAATGCCAGGAATCCCTCACCAATTGGTACTATGAAAAGGATGGGAAGCTCTACTGCCACAAGGACTACTGGGGGAAGTTTGGGGAGTTCTGCCATGGGTGTTCTCTGCTGATGACAGGGCCCGTCATGGTGAGTGAGTTCCTCTGCTTCTACCCATCTTGTTCAAAGTTCATTGAAAACCCCTCCAGTTCCCCATCATCCAAGGCCTCTCCCTTTAGTCAGTCATTTAACAGACGTTTGTTGCATACGTAGTAAGTGCCAGGTAAGAGTCTTACCTCAACACATAATATTCCAGTGGTTGATGGGTAGATAGGCAGGCAGGCAGGGAGGAGGCACAATACAGTGGGACGAGGAGCTTAAAGAACGTAACAGGTTGAGAGGAAGATATATCATACTGTGTTTAGGGAATCAAAAAGGGAGACCCTGGAATGGATTGGCAGAGAGAGCTCCTACCTACCTCCTCTAGACAAAGAGCTTTAAAACTAGTCACAGACTTGGTAGCCCTGTGTTGCTCCTGCAACTGTGAGCCTTTCTAGTGGGGATTGTTACTTCCAGAGATTTCTTCTCGTGGCTGAGACCAAAACAATTTTTTTGCAGCCTCAGGAATAACAGACACACTCGTTTAACAATTCCTACAGAAACTCTAGGGCAGGGAGTGAAAGGGCAGGTTACTACTAGGGTCTATAGATACTTGACTAGAGGTCATTCACCTACCCCTGCCCTCATTCCAGGAATAAAGGCAACTCACTTCCTTCCTTTGCCCACACTTTTCCCCACCTTGCTCACAGGTGGCTGGAGAGTTCAAATACCACCCAGAATGCTTTGCCTGTATGAGCTGCAAGGTGATCATTGAAGATGGGGATGCATATGCCCTGGTGCAGCACGCCACCCTCTACTGGTAAGACAGTGGCCCTGTGTCCACCCCCACCCCCACCCCCCCCCCGATAAAAGTAGTCAAGGGACAGGTGGCAGCATGGCAGAAAGATAACTGAGGTATCAGAGCATTGGATTCCTATCATAGTAGTGTTCTTAATCAACTCTGTAACCTGTATACAAGATCATTATTTATGCCCTCTGTCCTTACCTACTGTGAGAATAATAATACTCCATCCTTCAGTTTTCCCAGAGGGAGAGAAAGACTAGAAAGGTGTTCTTGGAGAAGAATCCCAGAACATCGAAGACAAAAGCCCTCTATAACTCACTCAGTCCAAAAGTCAGGCCAAATCCCAGAGAGGGGAAGGGGAATAGGGCAAGATTCTCACTTTGAGTTAGAGGCAGAGTGAAGAGAACTCAGACCATCTCACCCCTAGTCCTATCCCTCCTGCAGAGAACCCAGGCTCTTCATTCTGAGTGACCAGCTGGATACATGCAAATACAGTGGTAGTGGGACTGTCAGTACTGTTGTGTGGAGCCACATGGCCCAGTGGTTGCTGGGGGCTTCCTGGTGGAACTTCAGGATCTTAGTACCCTTTGTGCTTCTCTCACCAGTGGGAAGTGCCACAATGAGGTGGTACTCGCACCCATGTTTGAGAGACTCTCCACGGAGTCTGTTCAAGACCAGCTACCCTACTCCGTCACGCTCATCTCAATGCCGGCCACCATGGAGGGCAGGCGGGGCTTCTCTGTGTCTGTGGAGAGTGCTTGCTCCAACTATGCCACCACTGTGCAAGTAAAAGAGTAAGTATTTCGGGCCTCCCTGGTGGTGCAAGGTGTTAAGTCTTAGCACTATGAAGCTAACTGCAGCCACTGCAGCACTGATTCGATCCCCGGCCAGGGAGGTGACCCACATGGAACAGCAGACCTCTCCTGTCTTGCCTACTGCTCCCCTCAGCAGTGATTTCAGTAGATCTGCCTGTTCTGCTCCCCACTCTGTCTTTGGTGAATCCTTTCACCCACCCCTGCATCTCTGGCCTACACCCCAGTTCTCATGTGCATAAATAAATCTTCAAAAAAAAAAAAAAGAGGCCTCCCCGGTGGCGCAGCGGTTGAGCGCTGGGCTGCGAAGCTGCCCGCAGCCTCTGCAGCGCCAGCTGGTTCGATCCCCGGCCACCGGCGAGGTTCCCACATGGCCACATGGCGCGCAGACCTCTCCTGCCACCCGCTGCTCCCCTCAGCAGTGTGCTTTGTCACTCTCTCTGTTCTGCTCTCTGTTCTGCTCCCCGCTCTGGCTCTGGTGAATTCTCTCACTCTCCTGCGCCTCTGACTGTACCCAGTGCTTGTATAAATAAATAAATAAAAATCTCAAAAAAAAAAAAATAAACTTCAAGAACCCTGGAACTCTTTTTTTTTTTTTTTTTAAAGATTTATTTATTTATTTATATAAGCACTGGGTACAATCAGAAGCGCGGGAGGGTGAGAGAATTCACCAGAGACAGAGTGGAGAGCAGAGCAGGCAGACTGATAAAGTACACTGCTGAGGAAAGCAGTGGGCAGCAGGAGAGGTCTGCGTGCCATGTGGGACCCTCACCGGTGGCCGGGGATCGAACCGGCGCTGCAGAGACTGCGGGCAGCTTTGCAGCCCAGCTCTCAACCACTGCGCCACTAGGGGAGGCCCAAGCCTAGAACTCTTGAGCAGAGTCCATGGATGGGTCTCAAGGGACTCTGGACTCCACATCTTATGCAGCGCTACCTTCAATCTCATCTCTCTTTCTCATCTCCTCTCTTTCTCCTGGAACTCACTGTGCTGTCATCATACTTGGCACATACTTGGCACAAACTGCCCTGTCTGCCTAGGCGCTTTCCACCAGACTCGCTCTTCTTTCACAAGTCAAGTTTCAGATCATGTTTGCTCTTTGAAATTATCTGACGTGACTGTATGTACTAGTTTATATGTACTAGTTCCCTCTGGAACATAGTCTTATTTTTTTTTTTTTTATAAATTTTATTGTTATATTCCCCATACAATTGCAGCCCCCCCATTCTGACCCCAATCCCTCCCCTCCCGCCCCCGCCCCCCTAAAAGTGTCTCTGGTTCATAGTTTTTTGTTGATTTTGATTTTCACTTTCTTATAGTTATTCATTTTCCTGGTCCCTTATTTAAGTTTTCTAGATTCCTGCTATGAGTGAGACCATCCGGTATTTTTCTTTTTCTTTTTGGCTTATTTCGCTGAGCATGATCCCTTCCAGCGCCATCCATGTTGCTGCAAATTGCATGTGTTTATCTTTTTTGAATGCTGAGTAATATTCCATGGTATATATGTACCACATCTTCTTGATCCAGTCATCTATTTTTGGGCATTTGGGTTGTTTCCAAAGCTTAGCTATTGTAAACAGTGCTGCTATAAACATAGGGGTGCAGGTGTTCTTTGGAATTGATGTTTCTGTGTCCTTTGGGTAAATACCTAGGAGTGGAATTGCTGGATCATATGGAAGCTCTATGTTTAGTAGGTCCAGAAATCTCCACACAGCTTTCCACAGTGGTTGGACCAGTTTGCACTCCCACCAACAGTGCAGAAGAGTGGAACTTAGTCTTATTCAGTACTGCATGCGGTCTTCCAGGTTAACTGGAAGACTGCATATAGCAGGTGTTCATTGATTATTATTTTGTTGGCTGAGTGAATCAAGGAGGAGAAAATAGAGTCCATGACTGAGAAGTTAATTAATCCATCCTAGGTCCAGGCCAAGTGGGCCTGGGTGGGGAAAGAATCTGTGTCCTTGTAATGCCAGTAATGAAGCACCTGTGGCCCCCAAGCCTGTAAATAGTGAGAATGTGCCTGCTTTGTGCTGGGGACTGGGCAGTGTGAGTGAGTTGCTAGGGCAGGGGAGCTCAGGAAGGGAGAGCTGCTCTAAAGCCTCATTAGATGAATGGCGCTATAGGGGAGGGAGCTGTGTTCAGGGCAGGGCCATAGGACTCTGTGGTTGTGTCTGGTGTAGATTGTAGTCATTGTAGGTTGAGAGTAGCCAAAGAGTAGGCTAATCCAAGTCATGGAGGGCCTGAATTATCAAGACCCAGCAGGTCAATTGAGGGGTTTAAACAATAGGGTGCCCAGATTAGCATTGTAGGAGGATCACAGGTGTGGAGGTTTGATGGAAAGGGGCAAGCCTAGAAGTGCAGAGCCCGGGTGGAAGAGCCGGGTAAGAAATGTGTGTTGGTATGTTGATGGGGAGAAAGCAGCATTCTCCAAGATGGTGAGGACGGGGGAGCAGTGAGGAAACTCCAGATGGGGAGGGTAATGTTCATCAGCATTGGGTGAGTGGTACTGCCCTATGCTGAGAGGGGGCACCCTGAAAAGAGTGTTGCCTTTCCCTGTAATTGGCCTGGGTTCTGGGGGACCTTGCAGGGCTTAGTACCAGGATATGTCTAAACAAAATTAGACACATTTTCAGGATGCCTTTACCTTACCTCTCCTCTCATCTGGCCTAGGGTCAACCGGATGCACATCAGTCCCAACAACCGGAATGCCATCCACCCTGGAGACCGCATCCTAGAGATCAACGGGATCCCAGTCCGCACACTTCGTGTGGAGGAGGTACGCTGTGGGTGCAGCCTCTCTTAAGGGGGTGGAACATGGGCTAGATCCTCTGGGAGATCTGGCTATGGCTTTTACCTCTCCCCACACCAGCCTTTTTTTTTGTCTCACCACTGAGCCTGTGATCCCTGTTGACCTGTGTCAGCCTGGGCATGTTCCCAAGGCAGCAGGAATGGCCTGACAAATGGAAGTGCTGTCAGGATGCCAGACAGAGGGCACCATGGGGCTACTGGCAGTCGGAGGCCACCATTAGCCAAGTTGAGCCTTGTCCACACTGTCCTTCAATCATCTGGGCTGACAGTGGGTGGCCTGGGTGGAGCAGCCTGTGGGAGCCATCCTTATGCTGCTCTTGACCACAGGTAGAGGATGCAATTAGCCAGACCAGCCAGACGCTTCAGGTCTTGATTGAACATGACCCCATCTCTCAACATCTGGACCAGTTGCGGCTGGGTGCTCGACTCTCTCCCCATATGCAGAATGCTGGACATTCCCACACCCTCAGCACCCTGGACACCAAGGAAAATCTGGAAGGGACGCTGAGGAGACGCTCACTAAGGTGCCACCTCCCACTCTGGCTCTGTTCTTTCCCATGACTATCCTTCAAATGAGGCAGAACTGACTTTCCGAGGCCAGCAGTCAGGAAGGGCGCCATCTGGCCAGGGACTGGCTACGAGGATTGTGCTGACCCAGCCACCCCACCCCTGCCTCCCATGGAATCACATTTCATAGCCAGGACCTATGCATGATCTGCTCCAGCTGGCTGCCAGGTTTCCTTAGAAACCAGAGGATCGCCCTCTGTCCACTGAAACTCCTAAGCTATACAGGAAGCAGCAATGCTGGCCCTGAAGGGCAGCATGTCCTGTGGGGAAGTGTGGGGCTCAAAGGTTGGAGTAGGGGCACAGATAGTAAGTATACACAAGGATGTTGAAAAGTATAAAGCAAGAGACTAATACAGCTGTTGCAGGTTTGAGGGATCAATAACTGAAACCTCAAAGTTGTCCAGATTCATGGGGAGGAAGCAGTGGCCCTGGGTGCAGGCGTCAGGCAGGGACGCTGAAAGAACAGGAGTCCAGAACACTGGATCTTGGGGGCAGACATGTCCCTACCATCCCGTCGACTTGAGCTCCCTCCCTTTACCAATCACTTCATCTTTCTGAGCCACTGTTTCTGTATCCATTAAGTAGTGTTGCAAGATAGAAGTGGCTTTCTCACCAATTATGTAAAAATTCCACATGGCAAAGGATGCAAAGTAGTGACTGGCATAGGGTCAGCACTCAGAAAATGTGAGGTGTTGTTAATATTGCTAAGAGTCAGATTCTTATCCACCTTCCTGATCAAACAGAGAATCAGGCAGGGCCCTCTCGGTTGGTGTCTGTTGGAAACAGCCCCTGCCACAGATTGCTCCCATCAATCCTGACTGCCCTGCTGGCCATCATCACAAGCCAGCTGGTAGAGAAGGTCAGGGAACACAAGCCTAGAGGGAAGTTGTAGGGTTGGCTAGAAAGCTGCTCAGGTATTTGAAGGGCCATCTTGAAGGAGAGGGGGCAGCTCACCTTCTGTGCTGCATTTGGAGCAGGGGTGGGGGGTGGTTGGGAGAAGAGCAGAAGGGGCTCGCAAGCCTGAGGGCAGTCCTTCCGGGGTAGTCCATGTGAAACAGTAGCATGCCCCGGACAGAAGATTGCAGGGTTGCAGTTTACCTGCGGTGCTGGGAATTTTTTTTTTTTTAAGATTTATTTTTTTTTAATTCATACATAAAAGAACTGGAGTGTAGGGCAGATGTGAGAGGATTCACCAGAGAGAGTGGGGAGCAGAACAGGTGGATCTACTAAACTACACTGCTGAGGGGAGCAGTGGGCAAGATAGGAGAGGTCTGCTGTGCCATGTGGGTCAGCTCCCTGGCCAGGCATCAAATTCATGCCACAGTGACTGGCGATAGCTTGGTAAGCACTGAGATTTAACTCCTGTGCCACCAGGGAGGCCTGGTGCTGAGAATTTAGCCGGCTTGTCCCTTCCTTAGTCACAGTAACAGTTATCAACCAGTACTATTACTGACTGCTTTAAAAATGTACACATACTGGCTTTAATGCTATAAAAGTCATATATGCCTATTATTTTTTTTTTAATAGAGGCATTTTATTTATTTATTTGTTTGTTTGTTTTGTTTATACATGCACTGGGTACAGTCAGAAGCGCGGGAGGGTGAGAGAATTCACCAGAGAGCCAGAGCGGGGAGCAGAGCAGGCAGAAGGACCGAAGTACACTGCTGAGGGGAGCAGCGGGCGGCAGGAGAGGTCTGCGCGCCATGTGGGACCCTCCTCCGGTGGCCGGGGAGCAGCCGGGGATCGAACTGGCGCTGCGGAGGCCGCGGGCAGCCTCGCAACCCAGCGCTCAACCGTTGCGCCACCGGGGAGGCCCCATGCCTGTTATTTTTAAATTTAGGAAATATGACAGGTACAAAGATGTGGAACCTATCTGAATCCCATTTGTCATTTTTTAGATGGTGCTACACTGTCATTCCAACCCAGTTATTAACCTTGATTCAAGCAGACATGGAAGGTGGTAGATGACCATCACAGTGCTGTAATATATTGACCATGATAAGCTAATAGAATTTAGTCAGTTTTTCCAGGTAGGAAGTACTTAGAGTCCCCCATCTTGACTGTGTTTATTATGCTTAAATAAACTGCTAATGTCTGTAGGCCCAAAATGGCACCTCTGTCTGATGTAATAGTCTGCCTCCCTCCATCATAGCATCTGCATTACAGGCGTTGGAATGGACCGGTATCACTGAGGTTCCTACCTTCGGGGTTTCCTAGCAGATCTCTGACGATTTACCCTCTCCCTACCCCTTTTTTTTCCCGTCATCAGGCGCAGTAACAGTATCTCCAAGTCCCCTGGCCCCAGTTCCCCAAAGGAGCCACTGCTGCTCAGCCGTGACATCAGTCGCTCAGAATCCCTCCGCTGTTCCAGCAGCTATTCACAGCAGATCTTCCGGCCATGTGACCTGATCCATGGAGAGGTCCTGGGGAAGGGCTTCTTTGGGCAAGCCATCAAGGTGAGCGCGGGCAGTAGTCGCTCTGTCCCTGCCCCTAGCACTCATCCACCTTATTTCAAGTAGTTCGTATCCCATGACCTCACTCCTATGGGACACCAGGCCTTCTTTGTGGCTGCAGGTAATGGTGCAGGGACTGCTCCCCCACCCTCCCAGGCCACCTAAGGGCAGCTTTGCTGTTAAAGTGAGACCTGAATTGGGATGAGCTGTGCCTTTGTCGGTGGGTGCCTCCCACCTCCACGCAGTGGTTTTTTTAAGGCACCCAGAGAATTCAGTGCTGGGTGTGCTGCAGGGAGCATATGGGGGAGTGGCTCCTGCCTCCCTGATGAATAGGCCTGGGGACTAACCTCTGTCTCTTTCTCTCCTCCTCCTCTGCTGAGAGCTGGGAGGGGGGGTCAGGTAAGCCATGTGTCTCAGCTTGCGGGGCAGTGGGGCTGGAGAGCTCACCCCACCCCATCCAGCACCCTGGTGCATGTCTGTGGCACTGACCCTTCTACCCCAAGACCTGTGTTCACCCAGTGAAGTCACTCCTGTGTCAGATGACCAGTGCCCCTGCTTGGCTTGGCACCATCCCCTCCTACCTTCTCCACTTCCCTTTTCTGGATTCTTGCCTCTCTTCTGTGCATGCCCAGCTCCAGGGAGGAAGATATGCTTTCCCTCTGAGTCCCCTGTTGCCCTGTGCTATACGTCTTCGACACATGACTCAGTCAGTCTAATCTGGCTCAGGGTGTCCTCCAAAGGATGGAATGGTCAGTTGTAGATTTTCACAAACGTCTCCCAGAACTGCTTCTGGTTTCTGCACCTGTAATAGTTGCCCTCCCTGTAGGTGACACACAAAGCCACAGGCAAAGTTATGGTCATGAAGGAGTTAATTCGATGTGACGAAGAGACACAGAAGGCCTTTCTGACTGAGGTAAGAAGGGGGTCACGGGAGCTAGGAGTCTAATGTCACTCAGGAAGAGGGAAAACCTTACTTAATAATGGTTTCAAGAGGAAACTTAGTTTGGAATCGCTGTCTTGAAGGCTGAGTAGAAAAGAGCACTAAGGGAATGTCCTTGTTCCCTAAATTACTGCATAATTATTCAGTGTACACTTGCTAAAAACAGCATGAGCTAGATATAAGGGAAACAACAAATGCAGTGTGGTTCAGAAGAGCTAACAGATTTTGGGGATAAGAACAAGCCATTGTAATGCAACTAGATGCTGTAATCACCCCCTGAACACCCTGCTTACAGAGCCTGGAACGGGGCCTCCCAGAGAACTGATATCCCTTGAGCATTTACAGTTTTCAAATTGCCTCCCAAATTGCTCCATTATTTCAGGTAGATATACCTGTGTTCCAGGTGCTACCCACCCCCGCTTTTGTTTCACTCTTGGGCCCTCCTATTCCAGTGCCCTCACCTCATGTAATTCTTGGAAAGGCGGGAGCCCAAGGATGAGGCCTGAAAGGCCATCTCCATCCATGTGGAGGTGTTCTTCCCCCTCACCCTGACCTTAGTGCCCTTGCCATTTCACCTGATGTAGGAAATGAAGGTAACATATGTCCAGCTGACTCCCTGAAGGGACGGGGAAAGGAAGACACAGTGAGAAATAACCACTTCCCTCCTCGGCTTCCCCTACCCTCAGGTGAAGGTGATGCGAAGCCTGGACCACCCCAATGTGCTCAAGTTCATTGGTGTGCTGTATAAGGACAAGAGACTGAACCTGCTGACAGAGTACATTGAGGGGGGCACGCTAAAAGACTTTCTGCGCAGTGTGGTAAGCACACTGCCCCTCCAGTTTCCAAAAGCCTTAAGGGTCATCGGTGGGACACCTATGTCATCACTGTCCTAGAACCATGGAAGCCAGAGAGGCTCACTGCTTTGTCTACAAAGGGTGGTGCTGGGTGGGACTAGGCATCAGCAGGGAGGGGTGACTGGCAAACCATGTTGACCCATGGGACCAGGACCACAAGTGATAGGGGGCTCAACAAACGTCTGATGAGTACTCCCTCATCCTGCAGGATCCATTTCCCTGGCAGCAGAAGGTCAGGTTTGCAAAAGGCATCGCTTCTGGAATGGTGAGTCCTGTCAACAACCCTGCCAGCAGAAGGGGATGTCAGGAGAGCTGTGAGAATTGTGGCAGACACTGGAAGACAGATACCCATACTGGGCAGTTTGTGTGAGCTGGGCCATTCACCAACTACTTATTGAGCTTTCTGTGCTAGTGAAAATGTCCCCAGCTCACTGTTCTCAGTTACAGCCCTACTCTCAAAGAATTTCAACTCTTGAAGGGCAAGAAGGGCATGGACAAAGCATGCTAGAGAAGCAAAGTAGCACAAAGTGGCAAGGCCTTGCTATCTCAGAGATAGCCAATGCTGAGAGCTCTTGGAACCAGCAGAGAACCTTAGTACCTAGTGTTGTAGAGCAACCCCGATACAAAACGGGGTGCCTGACTGTGTATGGGATTAACTCAGGACATTACTTCCCCCTAACACTAGGATGTCAGAGAAATGGGAAATGAGTTGTAGTTGAGCCCCAAGTGGTGGATCAGAATTGGTCCTGAGAAGTCCCAAGGCTGAGATAACAGTAGCAAAGACCTGGAAGGAGAGGAGAGGAAATGAACTATTTTCCCTGGGAAAGAATGATACCAATCATAGCGGTAATGGCAGTGGTGATCGCTGAGTGCTGTCGGTATGCCAGTCCCCAAACTGAGGGACTAGCATGCATATGTGTGTTTATTCCTCACAACTCTGGTTTCCAGATGAGAATTGAGGATGGAACAGACAGAGCTAGGTTCTTGGACTAGTCAGTCTGAGCTTTAAGCCCACAGTTTCAGCCACTGCTCTTCCTGTGGGGTCCCTAAAGACAACATTAGTCTGGGGACAAGGTCAGATTGCCGTGATCTAAGTAAAATTGGTAGAGGGACTGGAAGCAGGACTCAGCTTAGTTGGGGGCTTTCGGGAGAGAGCAGTCAGGGCTTAGAACAACCACAGTCTTGGTTGGGGTCAGTGACCAAAAGGATGGGCTGGAGGTAGCAGCAGGGAGAATGAGGGAACTGGGGTAACCTTTGACTTTCTGTTGGTATCGGTACATGAGAGTGGCATCAGGAGGCAGGGCCCCTGGAATCCAGGTTGGGTACTGAAGCTGGGTAGGGACGGCCTGGGAAAAGAGCAGGTTCTGTGCCCCCAATTCTGGAGTCATGTCTGGTTACATTAGTAGCCACAGGCCTCAACTCATGCTTCTTTTCCAGGCCTATTTGCATTCTATGTGCATCATCCATCGGGATCTGAACTCTCACAACTGCCTCATCAAGCTGGTATGTCCTGTTGCACTTGGCCCTCCACTTGCCTTCCTTGTCAGAGGAGACTGACTCTTCCTTCCTGCTGCAGACCAGCGCTATCACCCAGGAGCTCCTATCTTGACCTTCCTGCGGCCTCTGATTTTCTCCTCTGTCTTCCAGGAGTTCCTGGACACATGCAAGCAGTTCCACCTCCTCCCAGGGCAACCTTTAAAACCCTTTACTTAAAAGGGACTTCAGAAATACCTTACTGTATAAGGAGCCCTGTCGCTTTACCTGGTTTTGCCCATGATGGTTCCGTAAAGCAGCTCTCCGTGGTTTTATAGCTGTGCTACTGGCTGCCTCAGCCTGAGGCCCCAGAACTAGTAAATTTAAAATGACTGGTTTGGGGCCAGCATTCCTTTCATTGCTTCTGGGCTCTGGTTGTTACAATGTTATTCCTCCTGTTGACTTGCAATCTGGCTTCCTGGGTGTCCCACTGTCTACACCCTCTAAATCCACACCAAACAATTCTAATCTCTTTTTCACTTGACTGCCCTCTAGCTATTTGAAGAGTTTATCTCCTCCAATTCCCCTCATTGCTGGCCTCCACCTTATCTTTCTCTGTCTTATCCTAGTTCTAGCCATAGCCTTAAATCTTTCTGGGAACAAGGTAGGATGGGGAGGGTGTGGGAGGGGAAGGACAGCAAAGAAACTCCCTGTCTGCCCTGAGTTCCATCTTCCAGTTCCCAGAGCCTTACCTTCCAGGCCCCATGGCCTCCGCTGTGCACAGCTATAAGGTCGTTAGAAAACCAATGCCAAACCACAGCTGCCTGGTGGAGCTCTTACTGAGCTTTCTTTTGCTATACACCTCTCCCCTTGATGACGTCTCTTACCTATGCCAGCCCCACCAAATCCTGACCTGTCCCTTGTCCTACCAGGACAAGACTGTAGTGGTGGCAGACTTTGGGCTATCACGGCTCATAGTGGAAGAAAGGAATAAACCAGCAGTGGAGAAGGCCAACACTAAGAAACGCACCTTGCGCAAGAATGACCGTAAGAAGCGCTACACGGTTGTGGGAAACCCTTACTGGATGGCCCCTGAAATGCTGAATGGTGAGTCCTGACACCCTTTAGCAGACATTCTCTCCACAGGGGAGTTGGAAGCCACATCTTGGCAGTAGAACCCTGGGAGCTCCGGGGAGACCTGTGAAGTATAGGGCCAGATACAGAGCTGTGGGCTGAATAATTTTTATCCCTTGCTGGTCTAGACCAGGCTTCATAAACTCTTACCTCCCTGAGCTGGTCAGTGTCCCATCCTGGGCCTTGATTTAGGCCTGACTGTGACTGTTGTTCCCCAAGGATGGCTCAGAGCTCACGCTAACCCACCTTTTAGCCTTTTCGACTTTCTGTGCTGCGAACTGAAGTGTGGTGCCCCCTTGTGGTATCAAAGGGGCATGAGAGGATTCACCAGAGACAGAGTGGGGAGCAGAACAGGCAGATCTACTGAAATACACTGCTAAGGGGAGCATTGGGCGAGACAGGAGAGGTCTGCCTTGCCATGTGGATTGCTCCCTGGCCGGCCAGGGATCGAACTCGTGCTGCAGAGGCTGTGGATTGCTTCATAGTGCGGTGCTTAACCCTTTACACCACCAGGGAGGCCCGATAAAAATATTTTTGGAGTCTGAGCCTTAGAAGTTCAATGATTTGCCCAGAAGCACACAGTTGGCTTTCACTGTACCATATAGTTTCATCCTGGGCAGTATTTTATAAGGACCTACAAGGCAATCCACCCAGGACTGAGGAAAGATGATTTTCAAATGGTGCCTGTCCTGATACCTTTGGGGCATCCCTCTAGCCCTGGTTCTTGACTGTGATCTAAAAATGTGGCCCTAGCCTCAGTACAGAACAGGTAAGGGACCACACCTAATAGCCTGTTCTCCTGTGTTCTCCAAGGAAAGAGCTACGATGAAACAGTGGATGTCTTCTCTTTTGGGATCGTTCTCTGTGAGGTGAGCACCAGCACAGAGGCCAGGCCCTGCCTCAGAACTACACCACCTCTTCCTAGGGACAAGTGCCCACTGAAATCAACACGCAGGAGTAGGGTTGAACAGTTCATAACATACCAGTTGTCACATTAGAGTCTCAAGGGTGCCATGAGAAGAACTGGTCAGGGTGTTTTTAGGTGAGAAAACTAAGGCTAGAAAGGGGTAGTGGCTTGCTCTTAGTCACACAGCCAGTAAAGGGCATGTGAGATTCAGAACTCCAGTGGGAAAGCAAGAGATTGTCCATGTGTCTGTCCATGTAACTCTTGGGCCAGATGTAACCCTTTCCTCTGTTACCCTTTCTCCAGACCCTGGTGGTGCCCTTGCCCTCAGCCCAGCAAGTGGAAATAGCTACACCTGGAAATGCCAGCCCAGTGCTAGGCTCTTGGGGTACAGAGTGAGTCTTAGACTGAGCCTGGGCTCCTAGAGGCAGGAATACATCTGGAAGCACTTGAATACACATATGTTCAAAGGCTTCCATAACCTGCAAAGAAAGTGGTGAGTGATAGAGAGAAAGGGACAGTTGGAATAATGAAGTTTCTTTGTTTGTTTTCTTTTTTTTTTTTTTTTTTTTTTTTTAAGATTTATTTATTTATTTATTTATACAAGCACTGGGTACAGTCAGAAGCGCCGGGGGGGGGGGGGGGGGGGGGGGGGGAGCGGGGGTGAGAGAATTCACCAGAGCCAGAGCGGGGAGCAGAGCAGGCAGAAGGACTGAAGTACACTGCTGAGGGGAGCAGCGGGCGGCAGGAGAGGTCTGCGCACCATGCGGGACCCTCCTCTGGTGGCCGGGGAGCAGCCGGGGACCGAACCTGCGCTGCCGAGGCTGCGGGCAGCTTCGCAACCCAGCACTTAACCGCTGCGCCACCGGGGAGGCCCGTTTGTTTTCTTTTATAGAGAGCTATTGAGTATCTACTATGTATAACACACTAGGCTGGCACCAAAGGGTTTCAGACCTGAATCAGACCCAGCACTTCATGTCACAGAGCCTGATCTCTGGCAGGAGATATAGACACAAGGGGACACAAGCAGGGCAGGGTGGCATATGTGGAAGCTGCTCCTCCAGGTGCCTCCTTTTGCTGCAGTGAGGCCTCTTCTAAACCCTCCTCCGTAGCCAGGCTCTTAGTAAAGAGATAAAGTCTGGATTAGTAATATTTGGAGAGTTGGGGGTGAGGGCAGCCCTAACCTTGGTTTTTACCTCTTCTGCCCATCCTTCCTATCCATGCAACCAGCACTTTCTCCCCCTGCCATATGGCTGCACCTTCCATAGTCCATTCCTGACCAGCATCCTCTCATCTACAGATCATTGGGCAGGTGTATGCAGATCCTGATTGCTTGCCCCGAACACTGGATTTTGGCCTCAATGTGAAGCTTTTCTGGGAAAAGTTTGTCCCCACAGATTGCCCCCCAGCCTTCTTCCCCCTGGCTGCCATCTGCTGCAAACTGGAGCCTGAGAGCAGGTTGGTATCCCGCCCCTTTTCCCACAGGTCTCACTGTCCTGGAATGCTTGCCACAGCCTTAGGCCGTTCCGCAGCCTTTCCTAGACAAAGGGTATAAAAAGCCTTGAGCTCAAGGATGTGGTATACACCATTGCCAACTCAGATGTGCCAGGCAGGGAGCAGGGGAGGGAGATGAGGGCATAGTAATACATGACCAGGATATAACATAGACACTGCTATTAAAAACAATTTTATTTATTCATTCATTCATTCATTTATTTATTTATTTAGATTTATTTATTTATTTATTTATTTATTTATACAAGCACTGGGTACAGTCAGAAGCGCGGGAGGGTGAGAGAATTCACCAGAGCCAAAGCGGGGAGCAGAGCAGGCAGAAGGACCGAAGTACACTGCTGAGGGGAGCAGCGGGCGGCAGAAGAGGTCTGCACGCCATGTGGGACCCTCCTCCCGTGGCCGGGGAGCAGCCGGGGTCGAACGGCGCTGCAGAAGCTGCAGGCAGCTTCGCGACCCAGCAGTAAGCCGCTGTGCCACCGGGGAGGCCCCCAAAACAATTTTAACAGAAGAAAATTCGCCCAAACCTTTACCATTCTTTTTTTAAAGATTTTATTTATTTATTTATACAAGAACCGGGGTACAGGCCAAAGGCACGGGAGGGTGAGAGGATTCATCAGAGAGAGTGGGGAACAGAACAGGCAGACTGATGAAATACACTGCTGAGGGGAGCAGCGGGCGCGACAGGAGAGGTCTGCTACGCCATGTGGGTCACCTTCCTGGCCGGGGATCGAACTCATGCTGCAGTGGCTCTGGATAACTTTATAGTGCTGAGACTTAACACCTTGCACCACCAGGGAGGCCCCCAATTTTCTCCTTTAAAGAAATCTTTTTAAAATTTCCTTTACTCTGCTCAGGTTATAGCTTCCATTATTACCAAAGTAATCACAGTCTTTTCAAGTCTGTGCATTGGAAAACTAGATTCATTGCATTTTTTTTGGTAACAAAAATCATGTTTCTTTTTAAAAAAACAAGTTCAGGCATTACCAATACTTACCAATATATAGCACAAGAAGTATTTATCTTTCATAATCTCCTAATCAACATTCTCCTCACTCCCCAACTCCACTCCCCCCGCTTCATAACCAGTTGGCACATAATCTTTATTTTAAAATGTTTTCCAAAGGTTCATTTTAGAGTTGGGATTGCTGGCGGGAGACTCTATATCGTGTTTATGGGCCAAAGAACCACATACCTTTACCACCACCAGAAAAAGAGTCTGAGGAGATGTAAAGCTATACAGTGTTTGTTTGCTAATATTTCTTCTAAGTTACAGTGTTTGTATTTCATTCATTCCAGAAATATTCACTGAGTGCCCCTACTGTGTGCTACATCCTGTTCTTATTACTTGGCATGCAGCAGCAAACAAAACAAAGGTGCTGGTCCTCAGGGAGCCAGCATTCTGACAGATGACCCCACTAGATAGAATAAATAAACTGTATTGGCTATTAGAAAGTGAGAAATGCTATGGAAAGAGTCAAACCAAGGAAGGAGGACTGTTTAGGGTGCAAGTATCAATTTTAATACTTGGTGGTCTGAGAAAGTGACAAGACATTTAATCAAAAACATGAAGAGAGGGCCTCCCTGGTGGCGCAAGGGGTTAAGACGCAACCTGTGAAGCACTTCGCAGGTTCCGCAGCACGAGTTCGATCCCCGGCCGGCCAGGGAGCAACCCACATGGCGCAACAGACCTCTCCTGTCTCACCCGCTGCTCCCCTCAGCAGTGTACTTCAGTCAGTCTGCCTGTTCTGTTTCCCATTCTGTCTCTGGTGAGTTCTCTCACCCCCTGCATCTCTGGCCTGTACCCCAGCTCTGGTATGCATAAATAAATAAATCTTAAAAAAAAAAAAACATTTATGGGGCCTTCTGGTGGCACAAGAGTTAAGACGCAACCTATGAAGCTATCGCAGCCTCTGCAGCACTAGTTCGATACCCTACCACCTAGGGAGCAACCCACAAGGTGCAGCAGACCTCTCCTGTCTCTCCTGCTGTGCCCCTCAGCAGTGTATTTCAGTCAGTCTGCCTGTTCTATTCCCCACTCTGTCTCTGGTGAATACACACACACACACACCCCGCCACACACACGCACACGCGCACACACACACACACACACACCCGGCCTGTGGCCCCAGCTCTTGTTGCATAAATAAATCTTTACAAAAAAAAAAAAGGCACTTGGTCTGATCCCACCTTTGATGAATGCAATCTCCTCTAAGCTATTCCTTGAGCCAGGCCAGTCTTCTCTAATTTTTACAGTAACCCTATGTAGTAACAGTAACATTACATTATCCCCACTTTCCACAGAGGCAGTACAGGGTTAGGGGGTTTGTTCTCCAGATCAGACAACTAGGAAGTAGCTAAGTCTCAGGCCTGGGTGCCTCCCACCCCCTGCCATGACCCTGCCAAATCTTAACCTTCTTCCAACTCCTTTTCTTTCTAGACCCGCATTCTCAAAACTGGAGGACTCATTTGAGGCCCTCTCCCTGTACCTGGGGGAGCTGGGCATCCCACTGCCTGCAGAGCTGGAAGAAATGGACCACACTGTGAGCATGCAGTATGGCCTGACCCGGGACTCGCCCCCCTAGCCCTGGTCCAGCCCCCTGCAGGGGGGTGTTCCACAACCAGCATTGCCCCCTCTGCGCCCCATCCCTGCTGTGGGCAGGGCTATCCAGGCTTCGTGTGGATTGACGACTTGTTAGAAGTGGAACATGCCATCTCTACTACCTCCTGAGGAGGCCAGCAGGCGCGCACCAGGGAAATGCATCTCCACAGGTTTTGGGGACTGATTACTGTCTATAATCCAACACTCGCCTGAAAGCTGTGAAGAAGAAAAAAAAAATAGCCTGGCTCCTAGGCCAAGAAGAATCTGTTACTTTGGATCACTTGGGACCTCCCTGGCAGTGGGATTCCGGGAGGCTCTTCTTAACACTAATCAGCGTGACCTGGACCTGCTGGTCAGGATCCCAGAATGAACCTGCCTGTGGGCTCTGTGGGCTCTGTTTCACCTGGGTACAGGAGGATTTCGAGCGGGAGTGTGGACGAGAGAAAGACTGGTGGCCAGGTGGTACTCCAAGGATGTGAAATGACAGTGGTGCTACCCTCATTCTACTCCATGTCCACCTCAGGGGTTGAGGGAGTAGGTTTTGAAGTGGCCTTTTTTGGTTTGTGGTGGGACTGGCCGGGAGTCAGGGGAAGGGCTGGTCTAGTTTCCTTAGTGTTCACATTGAGCCACATCAATGTGAGGGGAATCTTCTATCTCACATTCTCTATTAGTGCTGGAGACTGGCTGAGAACTCTGGGCAGCATCCTTCCCACCTGCAACAAGCAGTCACCTGCAAGTGCAGGGTGAGGCTGAAGGTTGGAAAGACCCTACCTTCTAAAAAGCCCATATCCTTGCTGCTCTCGCTTACACCCTGGTATGTTCCTTCGTCAGAACTCCAAGACATTTGCCTAGAGCCAGATGGGTTCTGGAGGACAAAGTGGCTTGTCGCAGGACCAGCATATGACTTGGGGGAGTAAGAATCTTAGCACTCTCTTGACCTTGTCCTCATGCAGCCACCGCTCACCCTTTACCGTGCCTGGTACAGGAAGCAATTTGGATACCAAGAGGTGGTGGCAGAGCCTCAGAGCGGAGATGCTGGGAACAACAGCGCCGGAGCTGGGCTATCTGGCTTCTACCTCCCTTGTTGACTAGCCAGCTCACTAGCTCCTGACTTCAGGTTCCTGAGTCGCAGCCTCAGGTGCTGCAAAGCCTTGGCTCTCCACCTTGGCTCCCAGAGCACCAGGGACTCATCGGCACAAATAGATTTGCCACCTCCTAGGTGTTTATGAGCTTGCACCACATTTAACAAATGGGGGATAGGTTTGGAACATTACTGCAGTGTGTGATGGCTACATTGGGGTGGGATGGGTAGGGAGTGACCCAAGAGAATGGTTGCTGTTAATATTATTATTGTATCTATTGGGTAATATGTGAAATACTGTACATAGATAGACCTGATGAGTTGTAGGGTTAGATGTCATCTCTGGCCAGTTTGTTAGATAGACCATACTCGTGTATAGTTTCCAAGTTTGCTGTCGGCTTGAGGCCTAGACTCCTAGCAGCTGCAGCAAGGTCAGCGTTGCATGGCTGGTTATGGCTCATCTGTCCCTAGTAATTGTGAGAGTGGGTCCAAGCTGGGCCATGGAGTAGACCAAATAAATTAAGCAACTAACATCACTGACATTTCTGAAAGTGAAAGTCTCTGGGGGCCTGGCTCAGGGAGATAAATGTGGAGAATGTTCCTGGCCCCTTTTTGGGCCCAGGTCACATGATTCCACACAGCAAGGGGTATTCGTACTCCCCAATTCTAATTACCTCTCCTTGTATAGACACTAACCTGCTCCAGAAAACATGCATACCTGAGGCCACCCAGTCCTTGAAACAGGTCTAACTGACTCCCACCTACCAGCTGAGTCATCCCTTTAGGGTGTTGCATCCCCACCCTGATATCCATACACTCCTACAGCTTGGATATCCTGCTGTCCTATCCACAGGACTGGTTCCACCTTCATCGTGGGAAGAAATGAATGCAAGTCACCCCCACTACTTGTTTCCCTGCAAGTGCTTCCTTCATAGGAAGCCTGTTTCTTGTTACTGCACTTGGGAGACATTGCACAGGGAGTCCATTGGCAGGTTGCTGCTGTCTGATTAATAATGGGATCCTGGACACAATATACATGCACATACCCAAGTTGCCTGCTCCCAAAGCTTGGAGAGTCCAACTTCAGGACAGAATCTGGTTCTGGAGAAACAAATGCCCCGGGTGCCTCTTGCTGGTGGTCTACAGAGCAGTGTTTGGACATGAGCAGCTGTCACCCCGGGCAGTCCTCATCGCTGAAGTCCAGCAAACACTTGGTAGCTTTCCTCTGGAGCCCTAGGAGTCACCTGAGATGTGTGCTCAGCCCAGGCAGCCCAATGGCCCAACCCCTCAGCACACCTATTCCTCCAGCTGCTGTAGCACTACTAACCTGTCTCCAGTCACTGACAAGACTGCCTGGATGTTTAACTACCTCCACCTCCATAAGAATGCCCAGGGTGAGGGTTTGTAGTGGCCAGGTCGCTGCACACCCATCTTCTCTACAGCTTCAACCCAAAAGATTGCTGTGAGGACAGTCGTAAGTAAAGGCTACCGTTACCACCCAAGCAGTTTGCCACCTCCCAGTTACAGGGCCTTCCAGTTACAGGGCCAGAGCCACACAGCTATTGACAAGGTAACCAAAAGCTCCCCAATATTTGGTAAAAACTTGGCAATTTGAAGTCTTTTTTTATTATAGTCGAATGCAGAGCAATTTCCTGCACTTTATACGCAGGTATCAGAATGAGGTATATAAAATGTGTATACAGAGAAATGCTTTTATAGAAAAGTAAAAACCAGTAATGTTCTCTTCAGCATCATTAATTCCAAGGGACCCCCAAGGCCTAGGTTCCATTAGTAAATCCCTCCAGGGAACAGCTGCTGAAAAGAATGGGCTCCCACTAAGCCCCCACCCTCATTCTACATGGGGGCAGTGGAAGGGATTTAGGAAGGAAGCTCTAAGGGGAGGGAGCACTGCCATGGCCTCCCAGTGTAACCTCAAGGCCTGCAGGCCCTGCTGAGCCACTGGCATCAACACGACAGAGGAGAAATGCCCTGCTCTTGGGCATGCCACTAGCCTGCTCATTCACCTTGGGCATCCCTTCTCCTTGTGGGCCCCCGTTTCCAAAAGGCTTCAGCCCCAAGATCCCTTACAGTGGTTCTATGATTGTTTTATAAGTTACAGGTTGTGACCCTGGATTGTGACCCTTGCTCAGCTGCCCCACAAAAGGCACTGGCCTGGAAGGCAGGGCCACCTACAAACTCAGGCCACTGCAGGAGCAAGCCCTGAAGCACTTCATTGCCATGCCTATGAGCTTAGTTTCCAGGGTAACCTCTCAGAGGCAGTTTGCGAGGCTCCACAGTATAATTCCCACAGGTTAGCTGGCTGTTTCTCACCCCTGCAAAATGCAGAAAGGTCACCATTCACCCTGAAGAGACGGGCACCCCGGGTCCACCTCAGGTGCTGAAGCCTAAGGCAGTCACGGATCCTTCTCTACCCTCTTCCTAAGTGGAATGTTCAGTGCAATTCTTTTTGAAACAGGAAGAGGCCTTGGGCCCAATCCATGGTTGTCAAGGCACATCACTGCCAGCAAGCTGGAGCATACCCAGCAGCCTAGGTCCCATTCTCAGCCCACGGTTTTTAATTTTTGTACAAAACGTGTTTCCGGTTCACAGAGGTCAGTAAGGAGTTTCATCCCAAATATTTAAAAAACTATATACTTTAAATGCCCCTCCCCCAACCCTGACCTGCTTGACCTGAACTATGAATAACAGTGTGTGTCACTCAAGCCCACAGGGAATAAATGGAAAGGCAAAGACTCAGACCATCTTGGATAACAGAACACAGAGGGAGTCTGGGGAAACTCCCATCCGCCCCTGGTTCAATTCTGGGGCACAGGCAATGTTTGGAAGCCCTTGTCAGCAGCACTACAGTGGGGGCTGCCACTGTCTCCATCCACAGGCAAATTACTGCTCTAAGGGATGGAGAAGAACTTTGGTAGGACCCTACCCAGTGTCACCCTCAGCCACAGCACCACCTGCTTGTCTCAGGATTCACACACACAAAAAAGGTGAGAGGAGGGATTTAACCACAACAAAAAGTGTAGATTCTCCCAACTGTAGGAGGGTAGGTTGTCCTGCGCCAGTGTCTGCCTGGGCTCCTGTCCATTGTGGGGGGCGGGCTCAGGCCCCAGGAGTGCCTGCTTGGCCCATGAGGGGGGCACTGCCCTCCTGAAGGTCAACTGGAGTCTGGTTGGAGTGGACAACAACAGTCTTCTCATCCACGATCTCACAGGTGGGGTTGGTGAAGGCAGACAGGGGCAGGGTGATTCGCTGCATCTCCCTCTCACATACTTTCTGCTCATGTCGCGCTTTCAGGTCTTTCCCCCTGGCAGGAAAAGAGGGAAGCGTTCAGTTATGTCTCCAGCATAGCTTCTGTTCATCAGATACCATCCCTGAGGTGCAGGGGCTTGCCATGGTCACAGCAGGGGCAGGGGCTAGACATGGTCACAGCAAATCAGTGACTAAAAGTATTAGATCTCCATTCGGCCAGACTGCCTTGATGCAACAAGGGGGCCTTAACACTCTGGTCTCTGGCTCCTTGTCTGTAAAGTGAGGATGTAGCAGCATGAGCCTCTTTGCAGTGGGGCTCAATGAAGCTAATAAAGAGGAAAGATTAAGTCCAGGACTAAGTCCACCAGTGCCCATGATATACACCAAGTATAGTCCTAAAGGCCAGGACACTTAGATAGTTTTGTTCTTTCAGCTCAGGGCTCCAAGAGACCCAGAGAATTATTCCAGCCCTAACCCATAAAGCTGCTCAGAAAACTGACATGACCATCCTGTTCTGAGACAGTTGCATTATCCCACGTACAGGAAGGTCTAAGTCCTGGCTGGATAAAAGTACTTCCCCAGCCCATGCGGGGGCAAAAAGGATTCAGGGCCGCTGTGGTCAGTGGGAGACACCGACAGTCAGACTCGGGGATTTTCAATGCCTCTGACATCTGACAGTGCTCAGCCTCCCTACTAAGTGATGGTACAGTCCTATTTTACTCACATGGAACCCTCATTCCATGCCAAGGACTTCCGATATGTTATCTCATTTCATTCTCAGTTCATCCCAAATAATTAGGTCTTTTCATTTGTTTTACAATAAGGAAATGGCACAAAGAAAGTGAGGAACTCTCCAAGGACATAGTAGATAGAGTCAAACCCAAGTCTGCTGGATTCTGGCTGATACTCAGAAGTTCTGACCTGATCAGGGTCACCCCAAAGAGAGGGGGCAAGGACTCAAATCCAGTCTTCTGGGCGGGTATGCAGGGCAACCCCCCCCCCCCCTTGCAAGCCAAAGGTTTGGTAAGTGACTGGCAGACTTCACAACAGAACCAGCACCCAGGGCCTATATCAGCAGCCTCTGAAGCCAGCAACCAGACACATGGGCTCAGCTGTCAGAAAAAATCTCCCAGGAAGGCGCCCATCCCAAAGAGGCCTTGAAAACAGACAGCTTGATGGATGACTTGGTGAAGCACCACAGGCATGCTTCAGATATCCTCAGGGAGAGAGCTGAGCTCACGCGGATTAGGCATCCATCATGATGGAGGAGGGGCAGTATGCAATGACAAAAGTTTCCAGAGATTAGACAGGAAAACTGAGGAAACAGCAGGGGAGGGAGGAGAGGAGTTTGCACAGGTACCTCAGATCTGTCTTTAGAGCAACCAATTCTCTTGTGTTCTAGTACCAGCTCAGCCTTAGTTGTGGGAGACCTGGCAAAACACGTCTCACCGAGCCTTGGTTTTCTTATGTGTGAAATGGATAATTTTGCTTCAAAAGAAGATAATAAATGTGAAAGCATTTTGAAAACAGTGAAAACTATGGCAAAACTCAGGAGGTCATGATTTGCCCTGCATACGACTTGACTCACCAAGCTGCTTTATCTTAATTTGGCTTCCCAAGGAAACTGTCCTACTGACCAGCCTAGGCAAGTATTGTTTACATGACCTCAGCGACTCTCTTCTTCTCTGACCCTTAATTTCATCTGTAAAACAAGGGGTTGGATTTGAGCATCTCTAAGGACCCTGAAATCCTTTAAAACCCCTTTTATGAGATGTGCTCTGATCCCCTCTTAATTTAAGGTCACAGGGGGCATATTTGTGAGCTCATCTCCCTGAAACACCCTGGGTGATGGAGTTTCTGAGCTCAAGCCTGAGGCTCCTGCCCACCTTTCCAATTAACCTCTGAACTAAACATTACCAGCTCCTATGGCAGAGTAACAGTAGTTTGAGGGGAAACTGAGGCACATGGAAAAGATCATTCTCTCACTCAAAGGCATCTCCACTCCCAGCCTGACGTGCACTCATCAGTTATAGTTGCTGCCACAGAAAGGAAAAACAGCTATCTTCATAATTAAACAAAAAGCCAAACCCTTCAAGGTTGTCCATGTAGGGAGAAACCTGGACAGCATTGAAGATCTGAGTTCAATTTTATCAAGGGAACCCCCAATCCAGCAGAAGAGCAAAAGGTAATTTGCAAAAGATGTGGAGAATGCACGTGTGTTTCCTCAAGACCAAATTTCAAAAGGCCTTGGCGGGCTCGGAGCTAGAGGAGAGTGGAACTCATACTTCTCTGAGTACCTACTGAGATGCCAAGAAGGGCCTTTATCTTATCCTAGATGAGAAACACTACCTATCCATCTACTGCTTGCCACACATACACTTTATGTACGTACCATCTTCATTTAATTTCCATCCAACTGTGCAAGGTAACGCCCCCATTTTACAGATGAAGAAACTGAGGCTTTGGAGTCTGACTCCAAAGCCCTGCTTTCCTTGCCTGCCACCTTTACCAAGCATCTGGCTCTGGTCAGGTTGCATCACCTGCAAGTCTTGTGGGTTGGGGGAGGGTGTGGAAATCTATTTGTATTAGCAGGGCAGTGCACAGCTGTAAAAGCAGCCAAGGGTAAAGGAAGCAGATGCTGGGACTTGTCTGGATAATAGTCACCGCCATTTAAGAGCCTCAAAACACACTCAACCCCATGTGCCTCCTGTTACCAGTGCCTGTGAGTCGTGGAGATGCAAAGAAAGCCCACAGGTCCTTCCAAGACATGAGAGAGGCCACCAGCCCTGCTGCATTGACCACTTGGCCACCCAATCCCTGCTCACTGCCTTTTCAGGTAGGGGTAGGGGCAGTCTGGCTATTTTCTGTTAACCAAGAAAGAACAAAAGAATTATTCACCCACTCAGTTCCTTTCCTAGGGGATGAAGTGGTGCTGACTTACAGTTTTTCCCTTGTCTTTTTATCAGAAAATAAGCGCTCCCTCTAGAGCTAGCACTGACACTGTTGGAGCAGGCACGGAGCTGCACAGTCAGACTGGCCATCTGAACCTCGTAGCCTAGACAACCAGGACAAAGACCCACCACGGCAAAGTGCCTAATCCCTTAAGAGGAAACGTGGTGCTGCCCACCCTTCCCAGCCATGGAAAAGCTCCATCTCATTAGCCTGAAGGCCTTTGGCAGAGTTTGTGCTTGCGGTAATTCTATCCAGGCTGCTCCTGGGCCAGGACTGGGAGGTTGGGGGGCTGGCCAGAGAAAGCAGGTGTGGATGGAATGGCTGCCAGCCCGACATCCTCTTCTAGGGTGATGAAGGCACCGCAGAACTCCTTCAGGCAACACAGGTTACTTCAATGCATTACGTAACTTTGAGCCACTGCCAATTTCCCAGTGAGCAGATCTGTGCCACTTTGCTGCATGGGGCAAGTTCCTCAAGGCAGTCAAGGTTATGAACACCAACGAGTACCCAGACCACTGTCTAATTTCATCCTCACGACAAACCTACATGATGGCTATTAGAGGTGGGCAGGCAGAATCAGAGAGGTTAAATCCTGTGTGTTAAATCATGTGTTCCAGTAAATGGCAGAACTGAGATTTAAACTTAGTACGGCCTGCCACCACCAGCAGGCAACATTGTCTTTTTTTTTTTTTTCATATAGAGGCATGTTTTATTTATGTATTTGTTTGTTTGTTTTGTTTATACATGCACTGGGTACAGTCAGAAGTGCGGGAGGGTGAGAGAATTCACCAGAGCCAGAGCGGGGAGCAGAGCAGGCAGAAGGACCGAAGGACACTGCTGAGGGGAGCAGCGGGCGGCAGGAGAGGTCTGCGCGCCATGTGGGACCCTCCTCCGGTGGCCGGGGAACAGCCGGGGATCGAACCGGCGCTGCAGAGGCCATGGGCAGCTTCGCAACCCAGCGCTCAACCGCTGCGCCACCAGGGAGGCCCCAACATTGTCTTTTTAGGAAGTATCAGAGCTGGGAGGATCATCTTATCTAAACCCCTGACTCTACACTATTTTACAGATGAGGAAACAAGAAAGATAAGTGACTTGCCTAGTGTCACACCCTGAATTGGTGGCAGTTCCAGAACTAGAATGTTGTTCTTTGGACTTTTAAAGCCAGTTATTTTGGTTGTTTTTGTTTTTGAAATTTTCTAGTTTTGCTATTGTTCTTTGCAAGTCAAAGCAAATTTCCATGAAGTCACTGGGACTTACTGGAGATACTGGGACCTTGGGGGAGATACTGATAATCCTCAGACACATCTTAGTAGCTGTTTAGTTTGGACAAAGCACTTAAGGTCCACTCGGTCTCAGTTCCTCCCTGTAAAATGGTATAAAGTGCTCCTTCTAGGCAAAACAGGAATGGCAGCTCTCATGCCCGCCTGTGACTATGCAGGTGCCTCTCTTTTTCTTTCTCCTTTTCCTAATAAACCTGTCCTTTTAAAAGGTTAAAAAAAAAAAGTTCTCATTCTAATGTGATCATGAGGCTTGGGTGAGATAATCAGGGAAAAGCCTTCAGTAGCACCCTACTTATTAGGAAAGTATGTCTTAATTGGCTGCTATTGTGATTATTTAACTTAATTGCTGTTCTGGTGTTACATTTAATACGTATGATCATTTTGAACGGCTGGGGTGAGGTGTGCATGAATATGTGTGGAGGGGGAATATAGCCCCAAACAAGAAGTCAAGGTGGGGAGGAACGGTAAAAACTACACAGCTCTTTCCTGAACACTGTTCTCTGCCTCTGGGGAGAGACAGGCGCTGAGAGCTTGCCTCTAACCCACATGTGGTTTCCTGTTATACACTGTGTTCTCAGAGCACTCTGCTGAGGAAAGGGGTGGTCCGGTGGTTAGTGATGGAGCATCTGACGACAGGAGTTTACAAGGAAGTTAGTTCTAGGCCTCATGGCCATCCTTTAATAGTCTAAGGGAGCAAATCTAGAAGAAAAAGAACTGGCTTCCCTGCTGGGCTTGAGTACCTAACTCACAATTAAGGACATATAGCCAGCGCAAGCGCCTGGAGGCCTGGAAACTGTCACAGGATTGGGAGAGAGCCAAATGCTATTCAGCAGCCGAGAGAGGAAGAAATATTTCAAGGGTTAAATTTAGCCAACAAGGTTTGGGTCTGTATGAATTGTAGGCCAGAGCCACCATATCATTTCCTATGACTCTGAAATGAACAAGCAGGTGTCCCCTGGACCTGCCACATCAACCATCCCTCGGGGTGTAACAACCTCAAGAGTCAGGAAGAGTCTCTCAAGTCAACACTTCCCTTCTCTGAACCTCTCATTCCTCAGTCAGAAAATAAGTGAAGCGACAGAGCTCAGAGAACCTTAGTTCAGTATCTGCATTTTATAAAGGAAAACAGCTACTGTTTCCTGACCGCTTACTGAGTATGCCTTAGCTCCAGAGTAACATTCTAGAATAGAAAATAGAAGCAACTTGCCCAAAGCCACACAGAGAGCTAGTTAGTGGCAGGGTTCAAAGACCTGCCTCCACCAAATGCTTGGCAAGGCACATATCCCCTCTTGCTTTAGTTTTCTAATCTGTAAACTGGGAATAATAACAGCATTTGCCTTGTAAGGATGGTTGTGAGAATTAAATTAAACTATATAAAGGCAGTGTCTGGCACATGGCAAATATTCGCTGCTGCTGTTCGTGCTGTTGTTAGTCATTGAATGCGATGTTTGACGGTTTCCCGTTTTTCACCTGTGAAATGAGGACATCTACGTACTGATGATACTGGGTGATCCACTGGGGCTATGGTATCGGACGTAGCCCTCAACATTGGAAGATAAAGGCCATCATGTCACTTCCCTCATAAGCCTTCTCAGACCATTGAAGAGAGGTATCACAGACACCCAGGGCTGGAATCAAATGCCCTGATTCTGCTCAAGAACAGCAAATAACTTTCCCAGAGTCACCCAGTGCTCTAAAATTGAATGCAACTTTGGCTTATCCTGTACCCATCTCTGATTTGAGGGACCTTTCCCACATGGTATCTCTCAGGGGGGCTCTCAAAATAAGCTTTCCTCCTCCTGCTGTCGCAGCTACAGGTCATGTTCCTAAGTTCTCCAGGTAGCCTCCTTGGCTTTCTCATATGTGGTAAGGAGTGGCAAGCTGATTCTCTGCCCTCCAACTCACTTTTTGCCTCATGTCCTAGAAGAGAGCTCTTCTTTCGGCTTAGGGAATTCTAATCATACTGCAAAAACACTGGCTGGGAATCTTTTCTAGTAGCAGAATTTTATAACTCACAAAACAAATTCAGTCTCTGGGTCTCTGCCATTATAGGGTGCCCAGCCTGGTTCCTTCAGTGCCATTCACTGCCACGCCAGGAATGCTGGATTAGAGAGTGAGGAAACTGGTGGAAAATGAGCTGGGCTTCAACCTAGCTTCTGCCACTCCCAGATGGTGTGACTTTGGACAAGTCATTTCACCTATCTGATGACATCTTTCTCATCAGTAAAATGAGGAACCTACCTTATGAGTCCCTACCTCATAAGGCTTTTGGGGTAAGGAAGTAAAAGCATCAGGGGAAAGGCTGTCCAACGTCAGCTGGTTAAGACTAGAACTAAGTGTCTACATCTTGAGCTTGTTTTTTTTTTTTCTTCAATACTTCACTTCCTTTTAGGTTAAGAATGCCACAAAGGGGTCTGGTTTTTGACTTCATGTACTTTCTTCCCCTCCTTTCAAGAAAACACAGAAGGGAAGCTACTGACCTCTTGTAGGTGTAGCCCAGGACAATGCCGGCTCCGATGGCAATGATGATCACCATCATGGTAATGCCCAGCACATAGCCTGCCGAGGACAGGAGATAGGTCGCATGAGCCTCACCCCAGACAATCAGCAAATGACATGTCCTGATGAATCTCACAAGGAGAGGGGTGGGGCAGTCATACCCAGGGTTCCCAGGTCCTTTTTCTCCTTGGAATTCACTCGCACATGCTGGCTGATCCCAATCACTGGCTGCACAGCAGCCGCCTCACTCCGGGCAGGCAGGGCATTGGCAGGAGCAAACACTTGCACCTCATCTCCTTCTGGCACCTCAGATGCTGCCTCAGTTTCTGATGAGGCTGGCACGTTCTGAGTAGTGGCCTCTGGAGGTAAAGTGGAAAAGAGCACTCATCAAAGACTGGTCTGCATGAATTCCACAGCTGAACCTGGTCCAAGGATTGGGGGCGACGAAGAGGGCCCACATTAGTATGCCCACCCCACCCCCAACACACACACATACTGAATTCAAACCCTGTCCCACGGGGCAACACCAGGCCTGAGAGGGCTGCCCCATAGCTGGGTCATGGAACTGTGAAGGGAGGAAGTAATAAAGGGCCTCTGCTGGCTCCCACGTCTTCATCTGCTCAAATCTTTGCCATCTTCCAAGCCCCAACTCGGTTGTCCCCTCCCAGAGGTCCCCTCCACTCAGGAGAAAAGCCAGGGCTCCTCTGAGCAGCTCACAGTTATCAACCCCACGCTTTTGCCAATCCCCGTTACATGATTTAGTTTATCCCACTTAATCCCCGCGGACGGCCTTGGTGCCTCGGGGGGAACAGCCTGCTCTGTGGACCAGAAGAAACTTGGATTCAAATCCGTGCACGGCCATCGCCTCTCACGAGGCACTGCACACCGACGCTCAGCAAACGCCCGTGGCGTCTCCTCGGAGGCGAGGAGGAGGGCCTGCGGCGGGTGAGCCAAGCGCCTAGCACCGGCAGACGCCCCCCAAACAGTCAGCGCGGAGCCCCTGGCTAAGCGTCTCCGGCCCGCGGCGCGGGGCCCGGGACCCCCCCAACCCGGCGCGCCGAGCAGGAAGCGCGCGGCCGAGGGGCGGGGCCTCCCTCCCACGGTTGTTTACAAGGCGCTCGCGGAGGATGAGCTCACGCGGCGCTGGCGGAGGCGACCAATGGGAGCTGGGCCCCTCGGCCTGGAGACTGCCCTGACCAATCAGGCGGCGCGGGGGCGGGGCGGGGCCGGCCGGCGTCGCGCGGCCGCACGTGCGCGGCGGGTGTAACCTCAGCTCCCAGGTGCCCCGGGCGCGGGGTCGCGGGTTTCCGGGTCCCGGGCGGCTACCTGGGCAGCGCAGGTCCTCGCAAGGCCGCTTCTCAGGCGCGCCGGCCTCGCCGCTGATGTAGCACCACGGGCCCCGTGGGTCCTGGTCCGGGTTCCGGCAGTAGCTGTGGTTGCCGGCGCCTGGGAGGAGGGAGAGGCGCCATGAGCCCCGGCCGGGGCCAGGACCGCGGCCACCGCCCTCCCGCCGAGGCCCGGGGTGGTCGTTCACCTGACTCAGGCGCCAACGCTAGGCTGCTCTGTGCGTCCAGCCAGTTGAGGCAGAGGAGGCCCAAAGCGGGAGAGGGCTGGTCCGCCCGGTACAGGTGGCCGTTGTCCCAGAAGCAGCCTGTGAGGAAAAGGAGGCCCTCAGACTCTTGGGGGGCAGGTGGCGAACCAAGGCGCTGTGCTTGGCGAGCAGAGGAGTCCGGGCCCACCTGTCCATTCTCCTGCCCCACGGGGGTACAGGGAACCCTACTGGGCCTAAAGGTCCTCACGTGGAAACCGCCCTCCCACACCCCCAGCCTTGAAGGGTTGTTGTGAAACCCGAAACAGAGCAGAAGAGAAAGTGCCTGTGAAGCCCGTAGCCAGTGCCAGGAAGCACTGCTCCAGTGCAGCGGGTGGTGACTGAAACTTGTGGCCACTTTGGCCTGACCCGGACTCCCTCCCTTTTGAAGATGATGGGCGTTTTGGGGCCGGTGGGCAGCCAGACCTGGAATTCCTCCCTGTGTTGTCATGGCTATGTGTTACTAACTCTGGTGCTCCCTTCTCCGCGGATACCGCCACACTCCCACTGGCAACACCCCCTCCCAAGAGAATTCTACAAAAACCTTGATTAGGTCAGGCAGAAGAGGGAACCTGCCTCATCGCTGCCAGGATGTGTCTCCAAACTCCCAGTCCCCTCAGCAGGAGAGCCACAGGGAGAGACTGGGGGAAGAGGGCCTGTGCTCTGAATACACCGAGCAAAGCCCCTGAAAAGAACAGGACTTAGGGAATAGGGGAGATGAATCCCCCCTCCAAGTTCCATCCACTCAAAAGCCTCAGGCAAAGAAAAGGAAAGAGAAAGTGGCTATTTGCCTTTGTTCTTAATGGCAAAGATGGAGCTGCAAGCCTAGCAAAGAAAGGAGGAGAAAAAAAAAAAAAGCTTTCATGCTGAAATTTTTGTTTTCTGCCTTTTTCCTCTCCAACCTAGTCATGCTCGAGAAATGGGGAGTTTTACTCTTTTCTGCTTCAGTAAGTTGCTGCAGAAAGGAAACATTGTAATCTCACCTCCAGATCCATAGGCTTCTGCGAGGAGCATGTTGCTGACAAGGAATGTTTGCACCCAGGCCAACAGCATCCTCACCTCCTTCATCTTGCAGGTGGCTGACCAACCAGTGTCCAACTGGGGTCCCCTTGGCGCCAGCTCTGCCTCCTAGTCCCAGCCTTACAGTCAGACCAGCCCTTGTTATGCTCTTCTGGTAAACAGCCTCTCTTTAGAACTGGGAGCTTCCCAGCTAGCTTGCGGCAGCGATGTTTTTCGGCTGAAAGGCGCCCCCTGGGTCCTAAGTCTCCTATGCCAAGCAAAGTCGCTAACCCTGAGCCAAGAGAGGAACTCAGCCCTGTGAAGAGAGGCAAAGAAGTTCAGGTTGCGTGTAGCTGCGGATCAGTTTGAGACCTGCATTGGCTGCATCCCCAGGGCTTGTCATCTCTTCTGTTTCTGTATGTGTGAGTACAGAAAGTGATTCTGTCAGGAGGCATCATTGGCAGGGGAGGGGAATCACAATCACTAAGATCTTTTTAATGGAGGAGATTTTAGCTCCACAACCAGGAGGAACTCAAGATCACATAGGGGGCACAAATAAGAGTATCCAGATGAGCTTAACTCTTTACTGCCATTCTTAAAAAAGAAAGCCTTTGTGGTTTATACATACATTTATGAACACTGACTTTTTTTTTTTTAACAGTGTAACTTTGCCAAGATCAGTAACATTTGCTTGCTTATATTTGGGGTTTAAGGTGTCATATATAGTAGGAATGCACAAGGGTCTTGAGTTGAAAGCACACATTGTACAAATATTGGGGATGTTTGCTTAGCTATATTGTAATAGTCCTTTCCACCAGCCCTGAATTCATATACAGGAAGTTTAGTAAAATATTTGCTCCCCTCCCCACCCCCCACTGCCCTGTGGGAAATCCATTAGCAGTGATTTATATTTATCACTAAACTTCACCACATCCATATAACTTAGGGCTTTTGGAGTTAGGCAGAAGGGCCCTCTTCCTGTTTGGCTGGCAGTTCAAGTTCCCAGGGAACATCAGTAAACTGAGAGATAGAGCAGAATGATTCGCCAAGACTACCTTGTGACTCAGGCAAATCTCAAAATAGAAATGGGAGACTGTTTTGATCCCAGAACTTGCATATTGCCGGCAGTAATTTAGGGAAGAAAAAAAATCTTTACAAAATAAATTTTAAATGTTTTATCAAGAAAGCAAGCTAATGTCAACCTAACTAATCTAAAGTGAATTTGAATTCACTATAGATAGATTTTAGAAGTAACAGAGAGAAATTTAGAGATGTTTGATTTTAAAAATTAGACAGGGTTTGATTCTTTCAATTTAATAAGACACGTTATTTTGATTTTGCAATCACGCTCCTATCTCCCCATATAAACTTCTGATCCCCTGACTCCTGACTTGATCTACACTGGAAATTATACCAGTCTATAAATTTATTCTCTCTCTCTCTCTCTCTCTCTCACACACACACACACACACACAGAAATGCCAAACATTGAAAAGTTAACAATTCTAAGATTCAGGGTTCTTTTTTTTTTTTTAAGATTTATTTATTTTTGCATACAAGAACTGAGGTACAGGCCAGATGCGTGGGGTAGTGAGAGGATTCATCAGAGACTGGGGAACAGAACAGTCGGATTGACTAAAATACACTGCTGAGGGGAGCAGAGGGCGAGACAGGAGGGGTCTGCTGTGCCATGTGGATCACCTCCCTGGCCGGGGATTGAACTCATGCTACAGTGGCTGCCAGTAGCTTCGTAATGCTGGTCTTAACCCCTTGCACCACCAGGGAGGCCCACATTCAGGGTTCTTAACACTTTTATTAATTTTACAATTTTTTTGAGAACCTACTACATGCTAGATGTAGCCCTATATAATAAGAATACATCCGTAAACAAATAAAATAGCAGGTCATCTTAAGTGTCACGAAAAGAGGTCAAAAAGCAAGAGAGAGTAATAGGGTGATATTCTGAGGTTAAAGAACACTTACACAATTTTTAGGGACCAGTTGGACATTTCTATAGGCAAAAGACTGAAGCAGGGAGGAGTTTTTGCACAATATTCCTGGCAGCTCCTAAATCCTCTTACAGCATTGCAAGAGATAGATGAAATGTATTTTGTCTCACTACATAAACTTTGTGAGCTTGAGAAAATGAGAATGCAGTTTTTAATTACAGATTGATTCCCCAACACCTAATCTATTGCCTTTGTATGCACTGAGCGCTCAATTATCTGATGAAGCTTTCCCGTTTAGACTCAGAACAGCTATTCCACATGATTATAATACTTTTCCCTCTGATTATGGTAGACGCAGGCCAGACACAGGCCAGCATCTGTACCATTTTCAGATTATCTACTGTGCCTATATAATGTGTGAGCATTTCTCTCTCAGGAGCCCCAAAATTCCTTGCCTGTTGCTATTAAATAATTTTTCGAAATAAGAACTCCTTAACTTGATACAGTGAAACTTTCTCTTGTGCCATGTGTCTTATCTGGAACAGTACTGCCGAGAAAACATGTAAGACAGGCCAGAGGAAGTATGTTCCAGCTTCATCATCTCTGCTTTTTCTCCTCTTGTAGCTAAGACATTTACCAGGATGATTATTGATTGTTTTGTTTATCGGTACTTCAAAGGCATATTCTATTGTACCATCAGTACCTTCCTTCATCAAGAAAATTAGATTTAGTTCAGAGACGTGTCTGTCGTCATCATTGGTGAGGTTTTGATCTTTTTCTTATGATCCATATTTGAGCTTTGTTTCCTGAATTAGTATAACATGGCTATATTTTATGACCTACAGTTGCTCCACACTTCTCTTTTGGAAATATTACTGCAATAATAATATGATGCTGCAGAAATCAAATACCTATTTTTGCATGCTTATGTTCCTAGAGACAGCACTGTGAGCTATAATATTCATATTTTACTAAAATTTTCAGGGATGTTTGACTCTCAGTTTCATATAAAATCAGTACTAATCCAGAGAGACAAAGCCATGCCATAAACTCAGAGAATAGCCTCCAAGTACTTCCCAAGAAGGTTGGACAGTTCATCTTGATAACAAGGTATGTTAGTGGAAGAGCTCTAATAAGAAAACCATAAAGCTTTTTTTTTTCCTTGTGGGACCCTCGCTGGTGGCCAGGGATCGAACTGGCACTGCAGAGGCTGCAGCCTCAACCAGCGCACAACCACTGCGCCACCAGGGGAGGCCCAAGAAAACCATAAAGCTTTAAAAAGGCTTAAGAATCCTTTTTGCCCTGGGTTGTGAAGCTGCTCGTTCCCCAATCCCCAGCTGCTCTCCGGCCACCACCGGAGGAGGGTCCCACATGGCACAAAGGCCTCTCCTGCCGCCTGCTGCTCCCCTCAGCAGTGTACTTCCGTCCTTCTATCTGCTACGCTCCCACTCCCGCGCTTCTGACTGTACCCAGTGCTTGTATAAATAAATAAATAAATCTTAAAAAAAAAAAAAAAAAAAGAATCCTTTTGCCAGCTCAAGTCCTTTTTGTCAAGGTGTAGGTGAAACTCTTTGAAATATATCTAATGAGTTGGGTCCCGCTGTTCTCTCCATATTATGTGCTATAGAAGTAGCTAAGACTGCAGATGGGCTTTGGTCACCATATATGTGTTTTGCTTATTATCACTGCACTTTCCCCAACAGCTCTGCCAAATGATTGGCACGTAGAGTGTGTTTTCACTGAGATTGTGCTGGAAGATATTTGGATGTATGACTGCAAAATGAGCAAGGGGTGATGTTATGAATCATGTTAAGGAAATAATATAGTCAAAATACCTGAACCCCAAGGCCTTTTATTTGAAAGTGTGACCTTCAGTATATTAGATGGTTTCCATTTTGGCTCATAGTTAAATGTTTTGTTTTGTTTTTCAAAGATTTATTTATTCATTTATACAAGAACCGGGGTACAGGCCAGATGCGCAGGAGGGTGAGAGGATTCACCAGAGACAGAGCAGGGAACAGAACAGGCAGACTGACGAAATACACTGCTGAGGGGAGCAGCGGGCGACACAGGAGAAGTCTGCCGCGCCATGTGGGACCCTCGCCTGCTGGCCGGGATCAAACCAGCACTACAGAGACTGCAGACAGCTTCACAGTGCGGCACTCAACTGCCTGCGCCACCAGGGGAGGCCCCATAGTTAAATGTTTAATACATGTTTGAAATAAAGGAGGGAAAGAACCTAATATCGCTACAGAGATTAGAATTCTTCAAGGAGTAAACAATAAAACAATCAAAAAGGCTTATGACTCACAGGTCACTTTCAGAACAAGACATTCCACACCAGGGAACTAAGGAGCCACAAAAGCAGAGAACTTGGGAATATCACTAAACTGGTTTTGAGGGGAAAAAAAGTAAATTCCTGAATAAGAGTGGGTTTGCAGTTCAAGGCCAGCCTTAGAAAACACGGCTTTCACAGTGATGAAAACAGTCTTCAGTGTCACAGGGAGAATACTAGAGACTAGTATGTTAAAACTAGGCTGCCCATATGCAAGGTAAAATAACCCAGGAAACTGCAATTATGCTTCTTTTGGAAAGGGATCTAATATTCTCCAAACTCAGTAAACTGAATCTTCAACTTTTAAAATCTATCAGCACCAGGGCCTCTTGGGTGGCACAAGGGGTAAAGACGCAACCTATGAAGCTGTCTTCAGCCACTGTAGCACGAGTTCGATCCCTGGCCAGGAAGCTACCCACATGGCGCAGCAGACCTCTCCTGACTCACCTGATGCCCCCCCTCAGTAGTGCATTTCAGCACTCCACCTGTTCTGCTCCCCACTCTGTCTCTGGTGAACCCTCTCACCTCCCACACCTCTGGTCTGTACCCCAGCTCTTGTATGCATAAATAAATAAATCTTTTAAAAAAATTTATCAGCACCCAATATGAGCTTTAGCATTGACATATAAGCAAGAAAACAGTATGACAAATAATTAAAAGTGCAGGCTTTGTATAGGCCTAGGCTTTAGTCTCTGTACTGCAGTGTGGTTTTAGGCAGTTACTTAGCATCCGTAATTCTTAGTTTCCTTGGCTGTTATTACAGTGGTTAAGAGTTAAGGCGCTAATGTCAGGACTCAGATTCCTGCTTTGTCATTTAACTGTGTCATCTTAGTAAAGCTACTAAAGTCTCTATGACTCAGTTTTCTCAGGTGAAGGGAGAGAGAATTTAAAATAGTGCCTGTATTATTGGATTGCTGACATTTATTGAACCCTGAATAAATGTTAGCTATGTCAGTATCCTCTCACTTAGAAGTATTGAGTATATCTTCAATGTACATGTTCTAAAGATCAGAGTAAAGCCTATAAAAAATAGAAACAGGGCCTCCCCGGTGGCACAGTGGTTGAGCGCTGGGTTGCAAAGCTGCCCGCAGCCTCTGCAGCGCCGGTTCGATCCCCGGCTGCTCCCCGGCCA